CATGTTATCCTGTTCCCCGATCACATTTGCCGCCGGTAGTGGGTGCAAGTATTTTCATGGAGGAGTGGCATTATGATTGGGAAGGCTTTCCCTTGTGGCCATACCTTATTTTATCTCACCGGTTCGCCGGACAATCTACCGCAAAGACATGGGGGAAAGGCCACAGACGATAGATTCCCGAGTAACTTACATCATACATTTAATTGCTATATTGTAAGGCTTTCAGCTACTAGCTGAGCAGCAAGGGCTCAACACCACAAGACCATAGCGCTTAGCTTACTTGCATTTGATTACGAAGGGCTTTAGGTTCCATTTTCGTGCGATAATCTCGAAATAGGAGAGGACTGCCTAGGGTCCCATGACAGTGGTAGTAGCGAGCAAGCCTGTGACATCTTCGGGTAATTGGTATGACTAATAATCGAACGCGAAGTTCGCGATTGCATCAGGCTGGACTAAAAGAAACCGTAGATGGACGGGCTAAGGATTGAACTGATTGGCCACCACAGTTCAACTACTCTACAGGCTGCCGGACAGATCGTATATCGTAGTCGATGGATCATTGCCCTTAGCTGTGGTACATTGTAGCTTTGACTGTTCCCAAAATTCAGATACTTCAGAGATATGCCTCCACGTGGGTGAGCTTCTAGATTGCGCTTCCATAGGGTCGGTTGACCCCGAGTACTATCCTCAACTCATTCGCAAGCTTGACGCCGGGCTTATTTCTATGAGATATTGAAAGCTTAGCTTAATAGGATTCAATAACCCCGAGATAGTAGGATCATGCGTCGGAACTAGGCCGAGAATCTGACCTATAGCGCTGCCATTCCGTTTTTCCGACGTTGTTGACCTTCGGGAGCTGGCGTTAATATCGCATCCGCTATCAAATTTGTATATCACTTGCATCATGTGTAGCTAGACTTAAACTTGTAAGAGTGTAGAAACAAGCAGGACATCGCTAAAGGATGAAGGTATAGGCGTATCTTCCGGATCGCGGCATATCGTAACAGTGTCATTATTTGATGATGGCTTAATGGGTATCACATCTTGACAATAAGCCACGGGAAGTCAGCGTACGTCCAAGTTTCCGAGCTTTCATCCCACTACCTAGATAAGGTATACCACGAGCGAAAAATAAGGAAACGCTATCTCCCCGAATGCCCGGCTTCACGGTTTGTATTAGCCTACTGGCAACGTCCCCGGCCCTTTTGACGCCACAGTTGATAGCTTAAATCGAAAAGGATTAAACAAAACTACGCTTCACGGCTTTGTGAACATCAGTTGAGAACATTCATGTATTTATTCAACTCTTCTTCCCTTTAAACCGGATATTCATTTATGCTAAGCATAAACTTGCCAGGGTCAGCATGCCCTGTTCAACTTTCTGCGCCGCAAGATCTTAAATACGAGGCTGAGGACTATTATCGGACCCCCATGGGATCGTCAAGTGCCAAGTTCAATGTGATCATGATTCACTTCTTTTGAGGAGTTGTGAACGCTTCATGTTGTTATGTTGTTAATTGCAAAAACTCGTTGGGGTCTGAGAAACCGTCTCGCAGTAGAAGGCTGTTTCAGCGCTGATATTCACGTCCATCACCATGAAGCCTAGAATAATAGATGGAGATGTAAACTACTGACAACCTTGATATTTTCGGGGCTCTCCTTGTGATCATTGTGCCACAGGCGATTGGCCGAGTCGCAGCTGACTACCTTAATAAGAAGTACTTCTTATTTAACTTCATGTTTGTCAAAGGTGAGGCTCCGCAACAACTAAGACAAGCTGAGAAGCCGAGAATTACGCTACCCAATTTCCTTCAGGCGCCTTGCTTGATATAGATTTGAGGAATCTATCTCGTCTTTGTCCAAGGATCATCTCACTGACCATCGTCTTTCAGCCTAAACAGACTCGGCCCTCTGACGCAGGTAATACTTGAGGGTTTCCCAGGAGCTGGAGTCACGTTGCTCAAGATATCTCACGGTTCTGAGAAGCTTCGAGACCGCCTGAAGCAATTTGACGCGTCGTGGGATGACATTCTAGGATTCCTTTGCGCATGGGTGGATTCGAGGTTACATTGTTGCGGGAATACTTTCGTATCCCCGAAACGAGCGTCTGAGATGCCGCCCCACCGGACTGTCCCGTTGGTGCGTTATTAAACGATGGTCTATGCTGTGCACTAGTTGAGGAGAGAAAATGTCTCCAGTTGGAGGTTCAAGTAATCTACATGCTCAAATACGGAAAGAAAGAACATTTGTACTTCAAGTACGAGAAATCAATACGAATCCCTCGGACAGAGCAACTGGGATAGACTTGCTTGACCTCGAATCCAAGATCAATCCCTGGGGACCGTAACGACGCTAACGGCCAAGGGGCCTGGCCATTTCAATGAAGGTGATTTGCGGCCCTGCGTCCACATTAGAATTGCCACTTTTACAATCTATTTTCCTGGTCGTCGATTGGCTCGCTCCTCAGAAATGCCTTTGAGCCGTTCAGTTATTGATTGTTGGTCTCAACGGTGCCACGTTGAAAATGTTTCTGAACCTGGAGTTAGCCCCAGCGACTGCTAGCGGCCCCCGATTCTCTCTTATCAACAACCTATGAGCCTCTTACCCTCCTCGTAGACGATATCGCTTATTGTTGCCAGGGCTTGGAGAGCCCCTGCATGAGATGGTTTCGTGCGTGGGGTCCCTACGTGGTGGTCATCGTGGCTGAGTGAAGAAGTATTCTGCGATGCGAGCCTGCGAGGCAGCGGGCGGCAGGTCTCTACTGTGCGTCAACTGGTAGAGGTCGTATTCTATTGGAACTAAACATTGAAAGTTGACGAGAAAATTTTGCTTCAATTCTGAATATTTAACTAGCCATCCACTGGCCTCCATTGGCACTGACCAGGCATCCCGTCATCCATCCGCTCTCAGGTGAGCAAATCATGCCAACGATGCCAGCAATCTCCTCAGCGTAGCCAGCACGTCCACCATACTTCTCAGCCATCTCCTTCTGTTCATCCGAGTCCCATTCTCGGATTCCGCACAGCGGTGTAAGAGGGTACCACGACGAAATGGCCTGCTTCGCGTCCTCAGAGGCACCTCGGAGCATGTCTGTCATGGTGGAGCTCGGGTTGCAAGAGTTGACGGTGCAGTGCTCCTTGAGCTCGCGAGCCCATGTGCGCGTCATGGCCTCAAGGGCGCCCTTGCTGCCGCCGTACAGGGTCAGGTACTCAAGGCCAACCTTGGAACCGACGCTTGACACATTGACGATGCGGCCCGAACGGTCGGTAGGCAGAAGGGGCTTTACTGCCTGTGTGAGCAGGATGGGGCCGAGGACGTTGATAGAGTAGACCTTGTGGAAGTCCTCGATGTTGACGGCCTCGAGGGGCATTGCGTGGAAGAGAGCAGCGCAGTTGACGAGTATGTCGACCTGCGGCTTGCCGGTCTTTGCGTTGGGCGGCATGTCATTCTTTACAACATCGACAATCTTGGAGCAACCATCGGGTGTGCTGAAGTCGGCACGCACAGGAACAGCCTTGATGTTGTGTGCTGTTGACAACTGCTCGGCGAGAGCAGCGGCAGGCTCGTCCGAAGAGTCGGTCAGGTAGATGAGAACGACATTGGCGCCCTTGGAGGCGAGGTTCTGAGCAATGGCAGCACCAATACCTTGGGTCTTTTTGTTAGCGTAGGTGTTCCTAGAACTGCCAGAAGGAAATGGTAAGAAGGCTCACTCCTTGCACCGCCCGTAATGACGGCCGTTTTGCCTTCGTGAACTTTGTACGGAGGAGCCTCGGTAATGGGAACGGTGATCTGTGATTTAGTCATTTTGTCTAACGGAGAGCACGATGTGATGTTTGTGCTAAAGGGAGTTCACACCGGGTTCGACTGTCAGGCAATTTTCAACCGAATCATATCATGGGGTCTGGGGAGCATGGTTATTAAGGAAAATAGGAGAAAATGTGACAGCAGCAACGTGGTGCCTGTCAACCTGTCAGACGGTCTCCTCTCTCGCCATTTCTGGATCTTCAGCAAACGCCCTAGACCCTTTCGAGCGCTAGAAGTAGGGACTGCTTGTTAACGAATTTACCATCCACTTTCTCCACTGCTGAAATCCAATGAGAGTACTGGTCGAGGTGACATTGAGTCTTCAAGGCCTGGATGACGGGTGATGTGGGACCGAGAAAGAGCGAATGCCGAGGCCATAGCCATCGATGTTCTCGTCTTCACTCGTGGATACATGAGTCCGTAGGCGGTTGCAATTTCAATCCAGGGATCGAAAGGTACTATTACTAGGCAAGACCAGCAGAATTGATCTTTGAGTTGCATTCTATTCTTGATAAAGTTCGGTGTCAAAGCTATATCATGCCATAAAGTTCACCCGCACACGTGCTGTACCTTAGTCCACGGCATGGCATATAATGTCCTTGACTGTCCCACCTAGCGGAGCCGGAAATCTGGCAAACGGGTCAAACATACGTTACCTGGTCATTTCACCAAGAATTGCCTCACGACTCCGTTTTCAGTCGCCTCTTTGGGATTCTATGGTGGTGCTGAGTATTACCCGAAGTTATCCAACACGCATACCCCCTGGCTCTGTCGAAGCGAAAGGCATTCTTCCCTGCGTGTAGGAGCTTTTCCAAGGGTTGCTCAGGGATGGTTCAAGGATCTTAGCGACGCCTAGCATCTCGATTAAAAAACAGCCAGGAGTTTTTCTGCTAGTGATCGGCGTGAGATGGAAGACATTGGCTTGTAACTCGCGACGAAGACCGCTTCCATATAACCTGTCTGGTGTGTCCGCATATCTGTCAACGATAGGTTTAGCCAGAATCGACTCTTGCTCACTTCTGTGTAGTACGTTGTTCGTCTCCTCGTTTTGCCTCATCCTTGTCGGCAACTATACGATCATTTAATCACCTCATCTCCAGTCACTCGTTTTGTTGACTCGCTGTCTCCGGCCAAACCCATCGCAACATCACTTGTAGTCAAGACCGTTAGGCACTGCCACATAGTTTTGAGTCAACATGACGACGGAGGATTCTAATCGGCGATTTGTCTATCAACTCGAGGGCGTTGGTCTCAGTCTATTTGTGGTCTCCATCGTTGGCGGCGTTGTGTCGTTGATCGTGGTATGCCTGAGGACGTTCATTCGACTGCGGGCAAAGACGTTCAGCTGGGACGATGGCTTGATGCTCGGTGGTTTGGTAAGCCGGAACCTCTTAGAACGCTTCGCGGCGAACCGAAGAGAGTTGCTCTTCTCTATTAAGCCTAGGCTAACATGGCGTTAAGGTCGTTTACCTCGTCGATGTCGCCCTCGCCTGCATGGGCGCATTGAGCGGACTAGGCACGCGCAACGCAGACCTCAGCCCAGTAATGTTGGTTGAATCGATGAAGTACTTGATGATCTGGATGATGCTTTATGTGGCAGTCTTGTGTACGATCAAAACTTCGATTTGCATCACCACACTGCGGATCGCTACTACAATGCCAACGCTGCGCATCGCCGTCTACGTCTTGATGGGCCTTACCGTCGCCACCTTTTTGACGACATTCGTCGGCATCCTGTTGTTATGCCGACCTGTGGAGGCGAATTGGGATACAAGCATCGTACTAGAGGGTCGTGGGGAGTGCTCACCAGTCAGCTCAATGCTGGCCTTGTCATACACTTCGACTGTCAGCACCATTGTTACCGACCTTGCCTGTGCCGTCCTCCCGGCTATCATTCTCTGGCAAACGCAAATGAAACTCTCGACAAAGATTATGGTCTCTTTTGTTCTTTCCTTCGGCTCGTTGTAAGTCCTCTGTCGCGTGCCTCTGTCTGAGATGATCTGGTTGGCTTATTTCACCTTCTTGAACGACACAGTGCTTCAGTCTCGACCATGATACGCACTCCATACATCGATCACTACAACCGTCCTCTCGACGATCTTGCTTGTATGGTATTCTCCCTATTCACTGATTAATAGTTGCTGACATGGATCACTCAACAGTCCACATCGCCAACATCCCTCTCTGGTCCAATGTCGAGACTGCCATTGGTTTCATTGCCGCTTCCCTCCCCGCTTTACGACAATTCTTTATGCACCGTCGCTCACCGCGACCTACAACTTTGGGTCAAACCGATGCCTCCCACGGCCTCCACCCGGGTTCAGTCGGGCTCGTTACTATTGGCGGCTCGGGAGTGATGTCTAAGAGCAAGATCCGTAAAGGGACAAACTACGAGGACGACGAGGCAGGCCAGGGATACTGGACGCGTCTTGATGAAGACAGCGTCTCGGAGAAAGGAAGCACTGCGCCTGTTCGAGGAATTCGTAAGGACATGACCTTCGACGTATCGTCCTTGCCAGGGCAGAAGAATGGTCGCGGGAAGAACTAGCTACGACGTAGTTAGAGGGAAAATCTTACACGCTATGGTGGCGTTCGGATGGATGCCCATACACATGGAACGCAAAGTGCATGTGCTTTCGAATGACGGCTACAGACAACGGGCGAGCCAGAGATGAATTAATTATGTTGCTTCAAGTCAGCGCTAAGCTTTGTTCGGCTACATCCCGAGGAACCTACCTTACTAGTGTCAAACGGTCAGACTTGGGGAAGATATGGCAACTTGAACTTCGCTTATCTCAATTGCGTTTAGACACGAAGCTGACACCTGTCCCCCACATCAAGGCTGACTATCTACGTCCATTCATCACTGACAAATCCAATTTTAACACTCAATCCTCCTGCAGACCGTGGTTCACTGAACGTATTCCGAATCATACTTCAACTGTTCAATTACCACTACTATGTCTCTCCCACGCTTGCCTCGCCTAGAGCCAGCGAAGTTCCGTTGGTTACCCTCACCAAACGACCCCCGTTCTAAGTCAACCCACCCACTTTCGGCCCACCCCAACGAAAATGGTCTCAGATCACCACCACCAAGTACACTCAATTAATTAACTACTTTCCACTGCCACTACAATATACTCACTACCGTTACTAGGTAAATCGACCCTTATGAGTCGATTAGGACTAGTAAAATGGTCCCTAGAATCCTCTTAAGCTCTTTTGTTACGGCCAGCTAGTCGTAGTGAGGTATGTTTGCAAAAGTTGAGGCTGCGGAACTGGTAACAGTATTCCTAGTCGGGGATAGCTTCAGGGAAGCTATGTCTGTAAGTCGTAAGGTAAGGGAAGGCTTCGGTGATCAATCGTAGTCTTATCAAAGAGGTTCTCAGGGAAGATAGCTGAAAGCGATCATAAGATCTGATACGAAGTTAATTGCTGAAGAAGCTATGGGAAGTCTGTCCTAGAGCCCGGCTCGAGTCCATCCTATATACAAGTCCTGATCCTGAACATATCCTTTGTTGCCTGATCATCATGTTCGTTGGTGATCACTAAGTGGATACTGGTGAGCGCTCACTTTGGGTGATGATGATGATCACCTTATCGTGTGCTCACTTTCCTTATCGTCACGTGACTTGTTCCATAGTTCTTCCGTTACATGAGGAGTCACCTGAGTTCCCGGATTCTCTGCGTATATCAGGTAGATAGCCGCCGCAGGCCTGTGGGGCGGGCCCCCTGGCCTTGTTATGCATGTTGGGTTGTAACACCTTGGCGAAAATGGGGTCAAGCAGCACCCGATGGGATAGCGCTCGGCTATATAGTCTATATTATAGGTAGCAATAAGGTCTTCTGGGTATAACTCAATTACTATACAGCTATATATAAAAATATTAGAAGCAATCGAGGCATTATAATTATTAGAAGACATTATAGCATTAATTAAAATGTAAGTCATAACGTTAACGTTAGTGGTGATAATAGTGTTACGACCCAACATGAAGACCAGGGCGTGCCCCGCTGACGCCTAGCGGCTACGGCGCATCATATATGCAGGACGGGACGGAACATTGGGGAAACCCCAGGAACGGAAGAACTATGGTACAAGTCACGTGATGATAAGAGATATGATAAGGGATAAGGATATGTTGGATATGCGACATATCCAACCGAGTCAAGGATATGTTGGATATTCGACATATCCAACCGAGTCAAGGATATGTTGGATATTCGGCATATCCAACATATCCAGACAAAGTGGACTGTACAGCACTGTTCAGTTAGGATCGGACTTGTATATAAGGATGGACTCGAGCTGGGCTCTAGGACAGACTTTCCATAGCTTCTTCAGCAATTAACTTCGTATCAGGATTAACATCCGCTTTCAGCTACTACCTTGACAAGATTACGATTGATCACCGAAGCCTTACCTACCCTTACGATTGACAGACATAGCTTCCCTGAAGCTATCCCCGACTACGATTACTGTTACCAGTTCCGCAGCCTCAACTTCTGCAAACTACCCCTACGACTAGCTGGCCGTAACAAATAGGTAACAGAGCATAGGCAGAAGTGACGTATCGTCAAGTACCCCTTTAAATGCGGGGTAATAATGGGTACATAGTGGGTATTTGGGGGCTTGGCAAAATGGCGTCAAGCAGCACTCGATGGGATACATGTATGTACTCAGGTAGAGATGGATCTCCAAGAAATTGTCAGACCTGGACATTGCATATTCGAGTCATGCATTCAACCCATGCTCGATTCCCTATTGCAATAAGGGATAGGCATTATGGCCTTGAAACCTTGTTCTGTTTCTTGTTTGAAGTTAAAACAACGTCAACAACAACAACACCTCACTCGCTTAAGTAGGAATATACCAATATGCACATTACTGCTGGCTGCCAAACTGTCGCCTGACAGAAATTCTGAGGTGGTACTGAACTACTAGGTAAATACTTTCCTTTGTCTTTTTATCGCACCACAGAGTGTTCTGTTCCTTTACCGCCTTTTGCATATACCGGTGTTTCTTCATTTGTCAAGCTCGACTTCAAATATGTTTTCCTCCGACGTGTATTAGTCGCCTAGGTATTTTGCATGGCAATAATTTGGTTCGATCTAGGCCGGTGATGATCTGACAAATGGCTTCTAGCCCATGTCTCAACTATTTTGAAGATGAAAGAGAATGGCTGTTCAAGCTTGGACTACTCAGGATGCATTGTGCTGGCAATTAGCTGGCAGAGACATCGTTGAGTCTCAGCCTTGGACAGAATACCTACTCCACGCAAAGGATGCACGGATGGTAGCTCAACGTTGCACTTAGTGTTCACAATTTGAAAGCAGGCTATCTACTTTGCAATCTTTCGAAAAGAAAGAGGGAGATCTGGTATGTATGACTGGCTCTCGGAACAAGGGAATGTGGGGGTGGGATCAGTCTCAGCCAGTACTCTAGACTGTGAAAGATATGTAAGTGGCAGTTGGGGGTGTTCTTCTGTGAAATTCTTCCACTCTGGAGTTGTATGTACAAGCACTTCTCTCATACGCGTCTGCTTCTGATGACATAGGCTTGGCATGACAGGAATGCCAAGGGCGTGAATCCGAAAGCCTGCGGAAGATCAGAACTCCAGCCACCTCACGAGTACTTCTTGGCAGTGAAATCCACGGAGCCTTTACTTTGTGCGTTCAAGTTCATAGACTTTGCCTGCGTGGCAGAGAATCAGAACGCACTTGTCTTGGAAATCTAGAAGCAGGACGTGGGTTTCTGTCATCTTCTAGGCTCTCACGTTCCCCACATCCCACTTCTACACATGAAGTGGCCAAAGACAAGGTCTCAGCCTTGTATGATTTCGGCCCCCAGCCTCCTGACTCGGCCTAGGAGACTCAGAAGCAAGTGGCAGAAATTCTGTACCATCAAAGGTCACTAATCTCCCAGCCCTGCGGCTGAGACGTTTTACGTTGTCACCGAATGACCGCCGAAGGTATCGCGCCATGGGTTGATAGGCGTCAAAGACGCGATATTCCTCTGTAAGGGTGCAACGTGAGAGAACTTCGTCCCTGTGCATTCCACTCTGCGTTTCTTAGGTACTCCAAGCAGCTGTCCTAAGGTAGCTCGGGGTAAATACATCGAACCTCGCTTGATTCATCTGTCATCGGAGAGTCTGTTGAAGAATATGATGATGACTTTGACATTCTTGACGTACATGTGGTTTCTGTTAGTGCGCCAGTGTCGAGCTGGCTAGGGCGCTATTCTTAGCCCGGATTTGACCCTGGAAGAATCATGTGGAGAGCCGTCAACCAATCAAATATTCATCTTCTTCCTGTCAGATAATTTGACGCAACCATGGCTCGCTCCTTTCTTTACCCCGCCCTCATGACCTTGAGCAACAATGGCGATGGATGCAGAAGCAGTGAGGGAAATCCAAGAGTCGACGCGCTACGAATACTCTGCCTTACCTTCAGAAAGTTCCATTCGCCTTCTGCAGATCATTCAGGATGATTCCTGCGCACAAGGCTTCTTAGTACGGCTGGAGACCTACGAGCTTGAAGATGCGCCCCCATTCTGGGCACTTTCGTACACATGGGGGCCTTCAGAGTTTGATGAGGGGTCTGATGCTTCAAAGAGAGCAGAGACACATTTCACTAATTTAGAATGCGACGGTGGACGACTTCGAGTCGGCCAGAATCTTTTCGACTTTCTGCGGCAGTTCAAGAATGACATTGCTTTCTTCGCGGAATCATCGGAGCTTGGACGTCAGTCCCGTAGAGCTAATCAATCGGCTCGGCTACTCTACCCTAAAAACGGCTTCAATCTTTGGGTCGATGCTATTTGTATAGACCAACAAGAGAGCCAAGAGAGATGCCATCAAGTCCAGCTCATGGGCCAAATTTACGAGTCTGCAAGAAGTGTAATTGTCTGGCTCGGTACAACTGAGCCCCCATACGAAGTCTATTGGGTCGTCAGATGTTTTATACCAAAGATATTGGAATTGGCCAGGGCAGGAAGCACCGTTGACTTCCTACACCAAGTTGGACCGGAATTAGACCATCCTGAGATATCCAAGTTACTCAGCAAGGAGTTTTGCGATCAGTGGCGAAGTTCATACCCAGTGTACTTCGACTTCTTCCTGAAGAAGCGATGGCTTACGCGCGGATGGGTTGTACAGGAAGCAGCGATACCTCACTCCCAAGATATAGTGCTTCAGTGTGGCGGAGTCCAATTCGCCTGGTCCGACATCAACAAACTGTCTGCCTTCATTCTTCGGGTGCGTTGGGATGAGAAACTCATACAAAGACTGGGCGAACTCCTTCCGGATTGGAAGAAACGTCCTGGCACCATCGATCGCCTTTGGAACTCGACACAGTCTTCTCTTTCGGCATTTCGTCGCGAGAAAGTCAGCAACGGCATGGCTCGTTGGCAGAAACAGCGCTGGGGGGCTACTACAGACGAAGCTATGCGTCATGCCGAGGTGCTTCAAACTCTCCACCGGTTGAGGATCTACAACTTCGAGAATCCGCTAGACCACATTTATGGCGGGCTGGGAGTCATACAGCGCATTCTGGGTCGCAATTATGAGGTTGGAGTAGTACCCAGTTACGACATCTCCGTCGAAAGCGTTTACACCCAGGTAACGGGTTGGTTGATCCAGCACTTATCCAATCTCGATATTCTGGGACTAGCAGGCATCACCGAAGGTCGCCTCCCAAACCTTCCGTCGTGGGTTCCAGACTTCTCATCTCACGGGCCTGAACACTTTACCTCTCTGCAAAGGTTAAGGCAGCTGGCAAGAGAGTGTCTTTTCCCGAGAACTTTTGATGCCACCAGCACTGCAGATGGATCGGGCAGACATGAGGCCTGGAGTCAAGGTCATGATCATCTCATACTGAAGGGAGTCTTCATTGACACGGTCTCAAAGTCCGAAAGTTCGAATTTCGACAGGCAAAATGTCTTCAGCAACGTAACATGGCTACGAGATATGAGAAGACAGCAGGGTATCTATGAATTGACAGGGGAGAGTCTCGTGGATGTAGCTGTGGCAACGCTAATTGCGGACGTCAAATTACTTCAAGACTCTCAAGAGAGTCGAAGAGAGTGGGTACAGAGGTGCATAGCCTACGATGAAAACAGAAACATGGGTGAAGGAGAAGATCCAAGCACCGCTGGGCCAGCAACGACGTCCATCCAACATTCTGACGCGGCCATTCCAGCAGACTCATTGTCAGGAACCTTGAAGAAGGACCCCATCTCAAAGATGGCACATTTCATGGCTTCTGGAAGACAGTTGTTGGAGACAGACAAGGGCTATCACGGGCTTGGAACGGCGGCGTCCAAGGCTGAAGATGAAGTCTGGCTTATTCGTGGAAGTCGCATGCCGCTATTGCTGAGGAAGACCTCCGCCACCGCAAGCTACGATGACAACGTTGCGAGTAGAAATGGCGGAAAATACGTTCTAATTGGAGAGGCATACATCCATGGGATCATGTACGGAGAGTTGATGACTGACGAGTTCATGTCACGTTGCCGGGCAGTTTCTCTCGTCTGAGCAAGATCAAAAGAAGCTCGCCAAGACCACAAACCAAAGAATCAGAATCTCGAAAGCATTAAGACGCGGGTTTGACCCGATGAAAGGTTCTTCGGATGTTTATATCATCATATCATGTTCAACACGACAGGTTGGATGTGCTCATTTTTGAATGAAGCCCAGCGCTGCTGCCTTGCTTCGATTCAGATGCTTGATTAGATAAAGTATAGTTACTATTCGCTCCGCTTAGGAGAGAGATATTACAACTGAATATTTCGACTTCTGACACCATCTGACGAGACTTGATCTTTCTCTCTCTACCAAGCGGTGTGTCCTCCATCAATGATCATGTTGCTTCCCGTCATGAAAGAGCTTGCGTTGCTCATGAGAAAGAGTGCCGCGCCCTTGAATTCCGTCGTATCCGCTAGGCGACCAAACATGTTCAAGCTTTCCCACTCTTCTTTCAGACCTGGAACTTCTTCGAAATTCTTCCGCACCATCGGCGTCAGGATGTGCCCCGGACTGATGCAATTGACACGAATGCCACCAGTGCCCTCTTTGGTGATGGGACTCCACTCCATGGCTAGGTTGCGTGCCAGTTGAATCAGGGCGGCCTTGGAGGAGTTGTAGACGGGTGAGAGTAAGCCGTGATTCGCGATAAGTCCAGACATGCTGGCGATCATACAGATGCTGCCGCGAGACTTGTACCTGATCATCTGGCGTGCCACTGAAGTAGCGCTCATGAATACGCCGGTGTAGTTCACCGCAAGCATCTTCTCGACGTCTTCTGCGGTGTACTCCGTGGATGGCGTTATCTGCTGGATGCCAGCTGCGGCGATGAGCCCGTGAAGTCCTTGGTTCTCATCGGCGATCCCAGAGATGATCTCGTCTAGTGCCTTGGTATCGACCACATCTGCTTGCCTGTACTGAAGGGAACCTCCCCACTCTGGGACCACACGGGCCAGTGCCTCTGCATAATCTTCGTGAGGCTTCTCTTGCCGGTCAAGGCAGTACACTAGTATCACTCAGTCAGTATCAAATAGAGACCTGCAATTCAGACGGCACGAAGACATACCCCTGCCCCCTGCTTCGCAAAGAGCCTCTGCTAGGCTCAAGCCTAGGCCTTGAGCCCCTCCGGTTACAATGAAAGCTCCCCTCTTCAGGTTGAAGTCGGCGAATTGGCTGCGGCCATAATTGTGTTTCATATGCGGGCGTGTGTCGAAGGCATGGTCCTTCGTAGGATCAGGACTGACTGACTGCGCATTGCTCAATTGCGGTATGTTGTGGAACGCAGCGTAGTATAGTGGTGGGGATGATCCGATGGTTCTTTTCGGGGCAGAATTGATGAGACCCTTTTCCGCCCGAAAGCGCAAAGTGCTTTTGAGGGCTTTGCCAGCTAATGACATGGCGTGCTAGGTGTGTGATACGGTCTAGAGATGTTTGAGCTTGATTTGCGTACTAAGTAATAACTGCAAATCTATAGCTACGGCTTGATTTGAGCTTTGTATCGGTGTTGTGTAGGAAAGTTCCTGGAATCAAAGAGGCATTGGAAGCTTCATCGATTCTTGCGTTTGACTGACATCGCATTTTAAAATGCGACGTCAGTCCCAACAACATGGGCCTGTGGGTCCCTGCAGCCGCCACATGGTGAAAATGACGAACGAGGACAAAAGATGGCAAGGGGAGAAACCGCATATTGAACACTAGAATTCCCATAAATTGACATCGCTTTGGTACTGACGTCTCGCTGTCGTCATTCCGAATAATGAAACCTATCAATCTTAGGAACGGGAGTGGTATCTTGCTTCCTGACGGGAGATTTTGCAACTAGTCGCGCCCCCGAGATCAGGTGGGCGTCAAGTGGGGTTCGAAAGAAGAAAGGAGCAGCTGCTTCGGAATGCTGGTAAGCTGATGGAAATCACGGATGGGCACGGGATAGTTGTGCCGTCAAAGATCCCGGATGAGCCACGCAACGACGTAGGAACCCATGAGTCCTCTTCAGCCACAGGTCGATGCATCGACCCGGATGACGCGGCTGACAAACAAGGAAGTTAGATGTACCAAGCCAAAACCCCCTGTTTGATAGGTAAACCGAGCAAGGGGCGTGATCCGTCGATCACTGCTTTGTTGTGAAACATGGCAGTGTTGGTAACTTGGCAGTCAACCACCTAAGTGCATGTAAATTAGTTGATTTCGCCATCGCTTAGCCCAGCTAGTTCCTGGGGTCTCGAGTCTTAGGCTCTCACTTGTTGGTCATTGAGTGTGGGATTCCCTCATGGTGAGATATCTGGTCCGGCGAATCGGATCCACTTCCTGATTTGGTTCCTAGGTGCTATGATTGCTGATTGGCGATCTGTCGTCCTTCATTTCCTGCTTTAAGAGACATGGGCCCACCGGATCTTGGCCGGTTTGCTTGTATCATCACATCATGCAGCTTGCCCCCAAAGTTGAGTGCATGACTTGGCTGAAAATGGGCTTTCTAGACATGAGGTCATGTTTCTTTGAGTCGCCTGTCAGGATAGGCACGGACTGCAGCTCAATGCCTCACCGGAGAGACCTCCGGGCGGAGTTGATCTCCGTAAAGGTGGACCTGACTCCCGGCCCGTCTCGGTGGATACCCACAGGGCTGAAGATAACCTCGCACTAAAACCTGACGTCACTTTGAGAACATGGCTAATTTTGGACGAGAATTCTAGATTGCTTATCTCGCCTGTGGCATCTGTTATTCCCCGTGTCTGGTGAGTAGACACTGCCAGTTGGTGTCAAGTTGGGGTTGTTGACGCAGGGTGGAAGCTCTCAGAGGCCAACTGCAGTTAGGGGTAGAATGATGAATTACTGAAATCTGCTCCTCCCTCGACGTGTACTCCCTGCGCTGTATATATATCTGAGCTGCTCCTTTGTTGCTTGGACTCCTTACTACCTCTAACTAGCCCCTATCCGGGAGGGCTCTGACAGTTGGCTTGAAAAGTACACCTTGTAGCTTAGTGGCTATCGTGTTGATGAGCAATCTTACGACGTCATATTGGTGAGAACATAATTTTGGAGACCTAGCTAATCCTCTGAGAAGTCGTCCTTGAAGAGTCAATGAATCACACCTTTGCGTTTCCATCCGCATCCCGTGATCCCCGTGAGTTGGGGCGCTTGTGAATATCCTCAAGCTCGACTTGAAGCACCTTTTGAGTGTTCTTCTGGACTCTGTCCTGCACATCTTTACCCTCGAACATGAAACTCAGCTCTTCAAGCGTGCGTCCTTGCGTCTCGGGGAAAATCATGTAAACTGTTAAAATCTCCACCAGGATCCACACACAGTAGACAATGTAGTACTTCCAGCCGATGGCATCGAGTGCAATTGGATTGACATAGGTGTTGAAGAAAACGGCAAAGCGGACAGTAAGTTGTTCAACGGCGATTCCCTTTGCTCTATATGAGGTATTAGCATCACGCTTCCCTGGAGGAGTATGGCAAAAAGGATGCAAGGCCACAGTAGAAGAGGACAGCGAAACCTTACCTTTGACTGAATGGGAAGAGTTCCACAAGATAAGTATAGCTAGACAGGGTTAGCGCCCAAATGTCAGGATAAATCCTGAGCGGAATTCATGGGACAGAGGAGAAAGGGAGTAAGGGGCTATTTACGCAAGCGCATTCCATCCAATGTTGTAAAACCTGGATTAGGAGAGTTAGCGATTGTTTCAAGCAGTACAGTGGTAGAATAGGGCGATTGACTCACGGCGAGTAAACGAAAATGAAGACTAAAACTGGAATAGCAGCTCTTTGGGATTGCTCGATGGCGAACCTGGCTGACGCGACAGTCCAGACGGTGTAAACGCAAGCAGTACCGATTGTACATGTGAGGAACATCTTTCTTCTGGCAAAGCGTGGCGCTATCAACGCGATCGGAACGGCATTGATGAAACCTTGCCGTATTATTAGCATGAACTCTGATACCAACTGGCGAGAAGATGACTTACCCCAGCACGTGTTGCCCAGAATGAATCTCTGCACTGTGTGATTATCCGTAATGCCAACAAGATTGAGAATCTTCTTCATGTAGAAAGAAATCAATCCATTGCCAGACCACTGTGTGAAGAAGCCCATGATTCCAGCCAGCATGAATCGGCGGCGCATCGCGGCATCGCGGAAGACATCGGCCCAGAGGAACTTGCTAGCAACCTCTTTCTCTTGCTGGATGGTGGACATGATCTGGGCGTACTCAAGGCGAACAAACTCCTCGCCGTTCTCTCCCTCACTGTGATACTTGTTGAGGATTGCGAATGCCTCGTCGCCACGGTCTTTAGATATCAACCAGCGCGGCGATTCCGGACAGAAAGGCATGAAGATGATTTGACAGCCGCTGGGAACGAGTTGAAGTAAACTGGGGATTCTCCAAGCCCAGGTGGTGGTCATTTGAAAAGTACCGAAGGTGATGCCTGCTGCCACGATGGCTCCTGTTTATCAATACATGTCAGCGGCGCTCTCAATTTCTCGACTTGGGAGCTCATGAGATGGGATTTCATTTCATACCTACAAACCAGCTTGCGTTGAACAGACTACAAAGTCAACGAGTTAGCAAACTGCCATGCCATGATTGCAGCGTGTTCGAGCGTACCTGGTCATGATTGGACGCTCCTTGGCATAGGAAAGCTCGCCGATGAGCGAGGAAGCGTTGATAATGGCAAAGGGGATACCGAAACCTAGAACCCATCGCGAGGCCAAGAACATATCGACATTGCTGGCTCCAGCTTGAAGCCCAGCACCCAAAACCATGATCCATGATCCCATCAGGATAGTGCGTCGGCGACCGAGACGCTGGCTGAAATAAGGGACAAAAGGAATGGCCATGAGAGCGCCGAGGGAGTAGATCGCGCTAAGAAGGCCAAGTCTTGAAGAATTGGGTCGACCAAAGTCTGATTTTTGCAGATATCAGTATTGAGTCATCGCGAAGGGCAACAAATCCCACGGTAGGGTTCTCTCACATTCGAACCACGACGAGACAGCTTGCAGACTGTTCATCATGGAAGAATCGAAGCCCGACGTCCACTCAACCCCAAGCCCGGTTGGGATGAGGATGAGATAGAGGAACCGCAGGTTCGGCTTCTTGTACCAGATCGTCTTGTCATTCTGCGCAATTTGCGACAACTGTGGATCGGCATGGTGTTCTTTGGCCCCAATGATGGCCATGGCTGCGGTTAAAACGATGGCAAGTCCGTTTGCTCTTGAACAACGAGATGAACCTAAACTTCGAACGTTCTGAGACTGGGGATCGCGAAGTTCAAATACTGGCTGGACGTTGCGCCAGGCCCCTGGCTCCTATGTCTCCGCGGCGGAGAGGGAAGCCCACACTTGTTCAAGTCGATCGACCACAATAAAGATGGCGGGACATCAGGCCACCGAATCATGGTCCAGAGTTCTTCGTTAGAGTCGGTTCTTAGATTGCTGCCCACCCACAAAGAACCCAAACCTCGCCTGCGGGGTTGCGCGCCGGGCGGGTAGGGATTCCGATCTCAAAATCCGGGGTAAGAATGACCGAGGCAACGCCGAAAAACAAGGGTCTCCGGGACTTTGAGGAGCCTTTGCTGGGGATTTATGTTGCCGTCTGCCACTTTCGTCTGAAAAACATGTCATCCGCCAACGAGAAGTGAGACGAGATGACAGGCTAAATCGACATGTAAAATGCGAACGCACTTGGAAGACGTCTGATGAACGGTCTGGTCCAATCTTGTTGTCTCCTAGCCAAGGTTGCGGTGCACTAGTGAACCAATCTTGGCGGAACAACTCCGCTCCACGTGGGCAATGGCACCTCCATGTTTGCCCGGCCATATTGTGTCTACATGACAAGCTGTTCGATCTGCCCGGGGTTTAACTTGTTTCATTGTGCTATGCAGAACTCCTACGAACTTTCGGAATGCGTTTTAAATTTAAATGAGTGAGATGTGACAAGCTGTCGTCGGCTGTCACCGCATCGCTAACCGCATCACTGACCTAGAGTTCACCAGCCCATGCGGGATGGCAAGTATGTAATTGGTGCGGACGCTGTTATGTTGGTAACACAGTCATGATGCCAATCAGCGCAATGTGCCATACCTCTTCAAAGATAATGATCAGACACTTGCAAGTGGTTCTATTGATTCCTGTTCATAGCTAACAGTGGTCAAAAGCTGTAATTCCTGTAAGTCGAGTCATATGGCAAGACTAGAAACTTGTCTGAAGCGCAGTCCCATCTTTCGATGAAGACTCAGTTGGCGAAGACCTTCATGAAATCGACTATAGCATCCAGAAACGTTTTTGCGAGTGTCTCGTCAAGACGTCCATCATTGAAGCAGACGGAAAGACCAGTCTCACCCTTCCAACTGTCCATTCGAACAAGCCTGGTTAAGTACCAAGTCATTAGTAAGAGTCTTCGTGATGTTTTCTCATCGACTGGTGTGGATGAACCATCGAAGAAGATAGTCAGGGGAGAAAAAGGATTCTTACACATCAGAGGAACAAGTCGTCAGATGGAAATGGAAGCCTTCCACTGTGAATGCCCTTTCGCTACTGGTGCTGAAAATGGCTTCTGGGACATATTTATCGACTTTACCGTCACTAACGAAGACCTTCGCGACACGGTATGAAAGTTTAGTAATGCTCGACAAGGCACCTGAATAAAGGACAAGCTTGGACTAAGGGTATCCGAACGGGAAAGCTTGTGGGCGAGAAGGACGAAGGCGCTCTAGGAGTGCTGTTAGATTTGAACCCAATGACCTGAAGTAAGAGGCTGGAGACCACTCACGATGCTAAAAAGCTCGCCAAGAAGTTGCTCTTGGGCTGGTCAATGACCAATTGGAACTCGTTCTTCAGCCAATACTCGTAGCTGTCTCTAAAATGGCGAGCCAGTCTCATGATAGTTGCCTTGATGGCTTCAGGATCTTCTTCGTCCACGACGTATGATCGAAGTGCCGCAAATTCAACAGAAGCGCCAGCCTGACACGATCCATATCGAATGCTCGCGTCGCTACTAGTGAGATAGCGCCTGCCGTTGACTGGCAAAGGCGAAGAAAGGAATAGAGAATCTGAGGCATCAGGCAGCAAGGGGCGAACTCGAAGTATCGCTAGCACCATGGCAGCATGGCCGAGGTGAGTGAAGGTGAACTGCGGTCCAAGCCGACTCTTGATGGCTTTCCCGATGACTTGTCTCTGATCTGCACTAAAGCTGGCCCAAATGGTGCGAGGCGTGCCTACAGTGTTGGTGACAGGAAGTCCCCAACTTGTCTTCAGAGCCTTAGTGACCATAGAAACTTGGTTGACATGGAACGAGCAGTCATTCTGCGGCCCGAGGAAAGGTACATAATCACTTACCGCACTTTTGAGCAACTCTATGATAAATTCATCTCGCGTCTTTTCATAGTCTTCCTCCAGTGCATCGACACCAGTTTTGCATGCATCAAGGACCGGCTCGTTGAGGTTGACAATTTCCTTGCCCCAAGGATGCTGGAGAGTGCTGACTGCTGCATTCTGGTCGCCTGCGTTGAGTTGTTGACCAAGGCCGCGCAGTAAGTCACCGACAAATATACGCGAACTAATGCTATCCCAGTGAATGTGATTGAAAGCACAGAGAACGTCCACTCGAGCGTCAACTTCAAGTAGAGTGCTTGTTTCTAGCATTTGAGCTACGACATAGACTTTGACAGGGGGTAGTGGCTCTGGTCTCTCTTGGCGCTCTTTCGAAATTTCCGCGGCAACTTCAAGCCCAGTTCTGACCGTTGTAATTGCTGAAACGATCCTGCGGGCCCATTCCAAGGCAGCTTCGTTGGAGGTTGGCGGGGTACAGACGATAAAGGGAGGGTCTTGGTCGGTGGTCCAGGCGACCGAGCATCCTATTTCAGGGTGCTGGAATCGGAGGTTGACAAGTGCCTTGGAAATCTGCAACGCGATTGTATCTAGCGAGAATCCAGGATCATGAATTCGGAGAGAGTGTTCAGAAAGTTATCGTATTGACCACGAGAGTTCGGTTCTCGCAAACCGACCCAGGCTTCGGTGCCGACAGCAAGGCGCCCGATAAGTCAACCCACCCACTTTCGGCCCACCCCCCCTTTCGGCCCACCCCATTAAATTCCTCCCAGCCACCGCATTATTATCCTACCTGTTACGACCCAACATGCACGACCAAGAACAGGGCCTGCCCCGCAGGCTTACGACGGTTACGATACGCCATACATGCACAGGACAAGGGGACACAAGGCACCCTCTCACGGAACGGAAGAACTATGGTACAAGTCACGTGATGATAAGATAAGGATCATTTGGGATCAATATGATCCAACACGACTTGGGGGCTAAACGATCATTCTGGATCAGAATGACCCAAGACGACCCAAGGGACAAGGGACATGTTCAGGATCAGGACTTGTATATAAGGATGGACTTGAGCTGGACTCTAGGACAGACTTTCCATAGCTCTTCAGCAATTAACTTCGTATCAGGATTAACATCCGCTTTCAGCTACTACCTTGACAAGACTACGATTGATCACCGAAGCCTTACCTACCCTTACGATTGACAGACATAGCTTCCCTGAAGCTATCCCCGACTACGATTACTGTTACCAGTTCCGCAGCCTCAACTTCTGCAAACTACCCCTACGACTAGCTGGCCGTAACACTACCCTCAATGTACAAACTACCATAATAATTGCAAAAATCGTCCAAATGGATTTTCTTTTCGTATACTTATTTATTAACATATAATGGTCAATTAACGTAGTTCACAAGCGAGTGAGCCACTTTTCTTTGATTTCGTACAACCTACCTCTCCCTTTATTTTTCTCTACCTATAACTATGGTGCGATATTCAAATGAAAGCGATTTGGTTCTGGCGCTTAATGCGCTCTAATCTAATCTAAAATTAAGCATACGAAAAGCTACATTAACCTATAATTTATCTTGCGCTACTCTTTAACAATAATAAGCTGGCTAACCTGCTAGATGCGATATACAACCTCATAACTAAAATTTAACCTTATACGAAGAGGAGACTATTATATAATACGTTATTGACCTGGATTTACGAGCGTTTTCGCCTTGCCTAAGCGCTGTTTGAGAAATGGCCGATCGACTACTTTGCGACCGTGGTGCGCGACGCGTCGGAATAAACTAGGCCTTAAACTTTGTATAACGACGACCTGAGTGTTACGACCCAACATGAAGACCAGGGCGTGCCCCGCTGACGCCTAGCGGCTACGGCGCATCATATATGCAGGACGGGACGATGATGATGATGATGATGTATTTAACGTCTGGTAACAAAAGGACGTGCCGGGCGCTATGCCGACATGGTCTATACTAATCTAAACTATATTACAGGCTACCGTCTTGTTACGCCCGCCGCAACTTGTCACTGTGGGCGCGTAGCTATATATGCAGAACAAGGGACAATGATGACCGGAGTCATCATTATCGAAGCTTTTGCTTTGTGCCACAGTTGGTTGCCTTGTCCAGCTCGTAACACTATATCGCTCTTATAAGATTTCGTATAACTACCGTTTTTTATTATTAAGCTTAGAATATATAAAGGGCTAGCCCTTAGGCTTGTTTAATATAGAGGTACCGTTAATGAATTATTCTAAGCTAAGGAGGAAAAGGAGGAATTACAAGGGTTCGCATATTGCTATGGTATAATATACCCGGACTCGGCGGTATATTACGGTAGAATAATAGCTCTACTAAAGCCAGATATCTCGACCGGCTCCGGCCTACAGCATAACCGAATATAATAATCCAATATAATAATCGGTTATTACAGGTCGCGGTCGGACAGCTTCCCAGCAGAGGGGTGTACGTGCGGCTCCGGCAAGGCCGGAGATCTCAACCGGGCTCCAGCCCGTGACACTATTGCTACGGTGCTACCGTAGTAGGTGTGCGTTACGGACGTCGCTGGCGTGGCTCTGCCGGCGTTCGTTACACGTCCTCTTACAGCCCAGTGCCGCTTCTGGTCACTTGACATGCTTAGAGACTCTTCTAGATGTAGTAGGATTGAATACTACAGTGGGTACATAATTAACATCATCTTAGCTATATCCCAAAGCAATGCAACTATGTACATGCATAGCTATCATGAAGTGAGAGACTAGGCCGTCTGTCGAATGTGAGGTCAACACGATATAGCATTCATCTCGGCTTCAAAGCCTCGTAAATTCCAGAAACGTGCGATACACTTCAACCGCTAGAAGTTCTTCAAAATCCTCTACTCCGCGGACACAAAGGCTGACAAAGCCAGTTTTCCTACCTCGTACGAACAAATAATGTAAGTAGAGTTTCAAATAAGCATTCCGCTACGATGGGCTAAGTAAAAGCACACCGGGCTCTGGCTCGTGATGCGATTCGAGCGACTGGCCCACGTCATATATTTTCAAGTTTCGTGTGTGGCTCAGTCTCACGACTGGAAGCGTGTAGATGCTACCTTAATTAAACTCTTCGAAACTAGGTAGGTTGGAATGATATCGTGGTGAGCTACATCTTATCCCGCATACAAAGTCAACATTGGCAACAAAACTTCAATCATCGCGATAGGAATAGTTGTAAAACGTCAAACCAAGTTTCCGCATGGATGGACGCCTTCAGTCGATTCTAGTTCCTCAAGGCACTCAAAGTCATGTATGCAGTCTGTTGGTCTGGATGATGAAACCCCATGATCCCCTTGACGCGTCCTCACCACAGCTGAAATAACTTCTTCTGCTTCTGTTTAAGAATTCGTCAGCGGGCAAGTTGTGACGGGCGAACGCGTAGCGCGCAGCCATGGAGGCCCCCTTTATCATGAAACACGCGCAAGGATCTGGAACACCAGCGACTCCGTCTGACATTGACGAACACACGTCATCCGAACGTGGTCGACCGTTTGGAAAAAAGTTATGCTTCCCTAACTCCCCCTTCCCTTCTTCTAGAATTAGCTGCAAGCCTGTAAGCCCCCTATCAACCCTTACCTGCAGGCTGCGGCTGGCAAGCTGATGAGGCGCGGCCAAAAAGATGAGACGACAAGCACACAGATAGATCCCCTATCGGCATTTCCGTCAGGCGCTACTGCCACAGGGAGGCCATCATCAGACGCTTGACAGCTGGAAAATTCGTGGAAGGCCGCGAGTCACGGGTAGCCCGCCCACATCACGCTCTGTGGTTGCTACAGTGGTTCGTTCCATGTTGAGGTTGCTATAAGTTGTCTTCTGCATGTGCCAAGGTGGCCTCGGGAGTTTGATCTTCGTACATAAAGGCTTATCACCACCAGTGCTAGCATACTGAGGATTCACAGAGTTTTCTTTGACAGCAGCCAAGCTCCCAAGTCACTCCGATATTTTACTCCACTCGAAAGACTTTGACAAGATGAAGAACATCATTTCCTACATCATGATGGCGATCATGTAAGATCTCCCGTCAATCCCTTGAGCCACCTGGAGCCCTAGCTAACCCATTGAACAGATTCGTCATGGTGCAAGCACAGCAGGGCGATATTCAATGCCGCTGCAGGACACACATCACCAACTCCGTCGTACAAACAGGCGGCCAAAAGCTATGCGGTCAAAAGGGCGGCATCCTCAGCAGCAACAGCCAGCTATGCACCAATCTCTCCCAAAACTTCACCGACACAGACTGCCGGGCGTTCGGCGATTCCTTCTTTGCGACATGCGGCACAGCTCGTTCACCAGTCAAGAGAGGCATCTACAAGCGCGAGGTTACGCCGATTCAGACGAGGCCCAAGAGAGGCTGGCAGTGGGGTGGTCGGGAGCCGGTTCACCTGCTCGTATCCCGGCGTCCGATCCCCGAGAGACTTTCCAAGAACTGATACTAGCAACGGGGGCATCTACACATATGCTTTCAACAAGCATTTACAGGATAATAAGCATTAGCGTCTCAATTATTACACGATTTGAATCTTCCATGTTCTACAGCTCGTCCTTGATCTTGTCAAGTTCTTCCCGGAGCCTCTTCTCCAACGTCTGTGCATCCCAGTCAGCATCTTCCAGAATGTGGATTTCCTCGCCATGCATATCGATAAGCCCAGACATTTGCATGTTGTTGAGATCCAGGTTCTAGTACGCCGATTTCCAGTACGGCCCCGGTTGACGGCCCCACGTCACGCCCCAGGTGATGATCTGCTCCGTCAAGGCCACAATAATAGCGTCCATATCTTTCCAGCCACCTCTGGGGAGGCTGATATCTCTCTCTTGGCAAAACTTGCTGAACTTTTGGCTCGCTCTCTTCGATATACAAAGTGTGCCCCAATCGTGTCCCGCAACGATAGTCCCGCCTTCCTCAACACTATTCCGGTCGGCATAGAAGAAGAAGGATTGAAATTCCAACGTGCTTTCTGATTCAAGCTTCTTGTTCATAGGTAAGAGATCCTTTTCGACGGTGCCATCTACATCCGAGGTCCAGTGGACGAGTTTTGGCCTAAGGTAGTCATTCTCTTCGGCGACGCCTTCTTCCGGAGCTGAGATTGCAGATGTAAAGATTTCCTCCTCTTCTTTGGTGAGCTTCGTGAGCATGTAGACTAGGACGAAATCATATGACATGGTGTCAGCCATATTTGCGGCAGCACTCTGCTTCTCTGTCCTTGTTTCAGACGTGACTAGTACAGTTTTCCCGGTTGACGAATCTTGCAGGGCTCTTGCGAGTGAAATGCTGGATGCGACAAGGAGAAGGCAGCCAGCAGTCGCATATCGAATCTACCGTACCGTTGCTGGGTCTAAAAAGGGTGCAGACCCATCAAAGATGTTAACAGGGAATGAAACGACGTTTTTGCGGCCTTGAATATTTGAAGTGAGTCTAATTCGACTCTAGAAGGATCGTTGCGGGGGTTAGATGGCTGCCTAGACAAGATCTTGATCCTTTGGGACTTACGCCGCAACAGGTAGTTAATGCACCACCACACGTTTTAATTCTGCGCGTTACGTTCATTTGTCTCTGTGCGAATAGGAGGAACTTTGGATCTAGCTTCAGATTATTTGGCCCAATGACTCCGTACAATGTGCCTGATGGATGCAACCAACAGGATTGGGTAGAACATCTGGTGAGGCCCGGGACGGAGGTTAAGTGCAACCATTATTGTATTGAAAAGCCCTTCTGTTTAGGTGATCGTTCATTTTCGATTTAAAATAGGTACCTCAGCATTGAGTCGTCGTGGTAGTTGACGCCTCATCTGGCACAGTCTTCCTCTTCTTCTCCAACTGCTTTTGTTGGATCTCTGAGCAGTCGGCAGAAAAGATGGATCCGGAAGGCGGTATGGGCACTTACAAACGGCCCTTTCACTTATATACCACTTCTGGGAGATCGTGGGCTCTGCCCACAATCTCCTCCTTCCACCTCCAGACGCAGCAATAATAGACCATTATTGACACTTCGTTCCAACCGTACGGTTGCCCTGCTGACGTGTATACCAACAGCTTTGGAACCTCTTACATGAACCCTTTCTCCCCACAGTCGAGACTTCGATATCCCATCTATGGTGAAGGTAAAGCCTTTACAGGCTGTAACAATAACTTCTGAAGCTTCCGACTAGCAAATAAATTAACAGCAGGTGATATTGAGGATCGATGAAAACACAAGTTTCAGCATCACAGTGGGGCAATCAAAGTACTCGACAGTAGCCTGAAGATAGAATGTCTGTGCAGCGTCATTTGAGATATGATGTACCTGAGTAAGCAGGAGCAATAGGCTATAACTCCAGTCCTTTCCATTCAAAATGATCGAATCATCAAAGAGCGCTCATCTCATTCTTCCACCCACTACTCTCCTTCAGCCAAGCTTCAAAAGTCTGCAAGCGCGGCTCCTCCTTCCTCAAAACCTGGATATCCGCTCCGTAACCGTCAGTCCTAAAGAACTCAAACATCTTGCCTACATCTGCGATAGCCCAGAGCATACCCTGCCCGACGATGGTGTACGTCTGCGGCATATCGCTCCCAACAACCCTCTTAAACATCTCTCTCGCCTGAGCGTAAGTAATACTGTCTCCTGCAAGTGACACAGCTCTCCGATTCCATTTCTCAGGGTTCGCAATGGCGTTGGCCGCGAAGAGTCCGATATCCCGCACCGAGACGAGCTGCAGACTCCGATCGGCGGGTAGTGTGGACCACATCGCCGCAAACACCTTGCCAAACATGCCTGGGTTGGTGTTATCCAAGAACGCCGTCGGGCGCAGGATAGTCCAGCTTAGTTTCCTGCCGTTCTTCTCTAGCTCGTCTGCACGATCGCGGAGGTGCACTTCGATGGCGTGCTTTTGCAAGAAGTGCGGCACGTCGGTAGGGTTCACCCACGACTTATTCTCGCCGCCACGGTCGACGGACGTCAGGACGATCTGCGAGGCTGCTCCCTTGTCGATGGCGGCGTCAACCCAGGCTTTCCCGATGACGTCTTCGTTGCCGATGGTGGTTACGATGAAGACCGTATTGATGCGGGGGTGGGCTTCGAAGACTGGTGCGGGCGAGTCTTTGAGGTCTCCCTGGACGGGTGTAACGGTGATGCTCTTAGCCCTTGCTGTCTCGATGAGGGACTTGATCTTTGCAGATTCGGGGCTTCGTGTTAGGGCGAGGATCTCGAGAGGCGGTGAGCTGTGTGGGAGATCGAGGAGGGCGTCAACGACGGCGGCGCCTTGCTTGCCTGTCGCGCCCAGGACGAGAACCTTTCTTGTGGAAGCCATGATCGTGGTAGTAATGGCCTTGTAGAGCGAGATAGAATGCCCGGCTACTGGGGTGGGAGTATATTGACGGTTGTATCTCGAAATTGTAGTTAATTCCAAGGTGATGTTGAATGAGGTGGAATCAGCATAAGCTTGATGTGTAGGTATGATGAAGGAAGAGCTTGGGGCCCAGGTGTAGGGATGAGCTTCCTGGCTTGTAATGTTTGAGGTTGGAATGGCGTCATGACGTTGAGCTGCGGCCGCTCGAGCATTTCCCCAACCTCAGGTCCGAGCTACACGGGCTGCGTTGATGCGCAGATCCGTGCGAATAAGGCTCACATGCAAGTAGCGTTCCTCGAGTGATTTGATGGACTAAACCCTATGCCATGACACTAAATGACTACAGCAGATGGAGATTCCATCCCTCCTCTATCTATCTCAAAATTCGCTGCCAAACCTTGCTATCTCAAAAGCATCATCTTGCGGCGTGTGTATGGTCAGTGAGCCCACATATCAAAACGCGGTCGGTATTCCCAGGGCAATTTTTCGCGTTGAGAATCATTCAACGAGATCAGCAAACTTTCGATGTCAGAAGTCCCAACAGGCCGCTTGTCTGGCGTACGTTAGAGACAGCATACGAGTCAAAACTTGCGGCTCTCGCAATATGTTATTGCACAGCATCCTCAGAAAATGTGAATTATTTTGTTCAAATGCGCAAAGCCGTGGTGTGAAGCTGTATCTGTACAAAGCGACGGTCCCACCGGAGCGAGTTCCGGAGCTAGGGGCCGCCCGGCTGGTGGTAACCATGCCGGCCAGAGTAAGACGGAAGACGGGGCCCACGAAGGGCTTTCGTTGCAGCGCAGTTTGTCATACTAACTCATCTAAACTAACTTATTATCCAGACAGCTTACTTCCGCAAGTGGTGACCAAGTCAGAACATGGAGTCTTACGGATTCAAAATACTTGAGAACAATCATTGAACGATGAAGACAAACGATGAGGTCCTCTTGGGAGGAGGTGTCGGATCCATCGCGCGCGGCAATGTGGTACTAATTAGTCAGTTCATGAGATTTAAAGATACGGGTACGATAGGCACTGACGTCCAATGTTCCAATCCCTTGCCACGAATTGCGCATTCACAGACGTGGTTTACCACCGTTTCTTCAGACCGGACCCGAGCGTTACCTCGCGTCCCGCATCTGGGGCTGCCGCGAGGGCGGCACGCCCGGAACCCATCGGAGATCCCCAATGTTCTTCATCCTAAGTCCGGCCGCGAGTTAGGGGAAACAAAGAACGAGCATGGTTAGGTAGGATTAATATCACACAACGTGACCAAAACCAGAGAGGATTATTAAGAAGTGAGCGAGTCGCATTGAGTTTCTTAGTCAAGGCGGGCTCGTTCGCGTGCGAGAGTCGGAGCACGAGGAGGCGGCGCTCTAGCAGGTATCGACGTGACACGGCAACGAGACAAGACGCGACTCTGCACATTTCAGACGTTCTAATGAACGGATGACGCTGTCTGAGGAGTTAAAGGAGCTTTGCAAGCCGCGAGTACGCACCGCTGTATTTACTTAATTAGCGTCCCGTGCTTGGTCTTAGAAATTGCTCAGGTCCATGACAGCTCAATCGAAGCTTTCCAAAGTTACAATCGAGCGAAGGAAATAGAGACAAATCAAGTTTCCGAGACACATATTTCGACCCGCAAACATGTTCGGCCGCGTCCTCCTCACTCTCGATGGCATTATGCTGCTCTTTGGCGCATACATGGCTGATTGGAACGAGACGCACATCCATAACCCGCGGTGGCCGCCGCACGCCAAGTGAGCGATGACCTCCCTTACTTACCTTGTTATGTCGACAGGTCGCACGACAGACAAAGTCGATGTCGTCAGCCCACATTACTTGCATCCCGTCAAGCTGACCGAGGCCAACCACAACACACAGATTCCATAATGCGCAAACAATGACGCTCTCCCTAATCCTGGGCATGGCGACGCTCTTCTTCACGTGGCGCACCAACACGTCGGCCGAAATGGCAAAGGAGTCGTTCCGCATCGCGGGCTTCCTGGGGTCTATTTACTGGGTGGCCGGGTGGGCTTCGCTGCTGTACCCCGGCACCAGCGGGCTGGACCCGGAGCACGGCGGACCGGGGTTCCCGCAGAAGTACCCCTTCACTATGGCGATGGGGCTCGCCATGACGGGCATGTATCTCGAGGGAGGCGTCTAAATTCGGGTTACGTGGTATAGTCGAAGATGTTACGTGCGATGGAGAATCGGGGCGAGGATTCAGCCGGACGGCACGGTGGCGGCGGGAGGTGGAGGTACTGAGGGCATTGCGAAAAGTGCTTAATTGGGTTCAAGCATTTGGAGATCCTCTGTTTGAGTTGAGGGCAGGCCTGGTTGAGGGCGACGTGGACATCTGGGCTGAGTTAAGATGTTACTTAAGATTGTTAAGTGCCTAGGTTACGAATGCATTCATACTCAAAGAAGCCGAGCCTCTCTGTTTACCCTACTTTATTCCTCGGCTCGTCCGCGTCTGCCAGGTAAGTGGGACTCGCGAATCGCAATCAATCATCACGGCGGCGACGACGGCCGCGCATTTTTCAAATTTAGAGCCGCGGGAAGTGGGCGGACCACGGCACGGCGCATGATCGAGCGGGCGGCGGAGGAAGAAGAAGGGAGAGAACGTGGGGAGTGTCCCCCGGCGGTGCAACGCGGCGCGTCCGAATTAGCTCACCTCGGAGGGAGGCCAAGCGAGAACGGAGGGGTTCTGAACTTTCGGAGGATTACGTGGAAGCCGTTTTGTTCTCGACCTCTTTTTCAATTTCTCTAGATCAACGTTTGTTTCAAGGTTTGTGAACGATGTGGGCGGGCTTCGCGGAGTCTGTCACGCCTGTGTATGGAACCCACCACCGCGGCCTGCTCTCTCGTGTGTGTTTCCGCGAACCCGCCCATGTCTCTGAGGGGCGGGACGAGGATTGGGAATTTCTCGGAGACATCCAGAATGACGTGTGCTAAGATTCTTGGGGGACAGGGGTTAGGGAACTCGACTCACCTTGTCTCCCCTTCTCCCCCGTCGGGAATTTTGGCAGCATTGACTGGGCAATTGTTTCCATGGCCTATGGGCTTTCCATTGTTGTGTGTGCTTTTTCAACATGGCTCGGGTTCGCCCCATGGCCCGGCGGCCGGCACATAGCTCCAAGCCACGCAACACACAAGCGGTAAGCTTGAAGTGGCATGGTAGCATCACAATGGCCGAAGATGCCGTCCTCGGCGCCGCAAAGATTTGAAGATGGGTGAAATCTGACGGGAGGGGGACTCAGAGAGACTCGACTGCGAGGTCTCGGCAGCGGCTATCCGGTTAGCTCGGGAACGGCTTTGGTGGCTGACCTTCAGCCTGAGTACAAACCGTTCATGTTACAGCCAAGTCGGTCAAGACGTTTTCTTGGGGGAACACGAGAGCCGCGAGCGCGAACTATTCGCTGTGAGCCTAGGATATGCTTACAGACTGTGGGAAAAAGAAAACAACCTTGAATCTCCCAAGGCTTGGAATATGGCACGGATTACCATCCTTCCACCCTGCAACGCAACCGCTTCTCCACTGTGCCTACTCTGGAATTCTCGATAATGGAGACACTCGCGTGATGTGTTGCCGGATGAGTTGGGCTCGCCGCTGTCCCTGACTCTGCTCTGAGGTGATGATTGACACGGCTCGGCCGCGGGCAGGGCATTCGGGATGTGGAGAAGGGAAGTTTGTCATGTACCCCGTCTGACTGCTATGGAAGTTCATGGCACTGGTGCAAAATTCCACCCTCTGCCTGCATCAACCCGGCCTTGCATACCTCCAACTGCCTACAGTATCTTTTCCTCTGAAGAGCGAGAAGGGATGCCAGAGGCATACCCGGTTTCGGTCTTCAGAGCCGTCTCGAGACTCCCCGAAACAGAGAAAACATCAACGGCCGAGACTTCTTCGATGGGTATGGACCATGGGCCATGGGGTTGCAAGACAGCAAGACTCAGAACGGGGGCGTCTAGCAGGGCCGGCGGAACGCCCAGAAATGTAATGGGCTGCGTAACCTGCAGAAATGCGACACCAACGCGGCAGCGGGTACAGCGGGGGGGATCAAACACGACGCACAACGAACCAACATGCTATCCAGCCTCCTGGACGGATGCAGACACACGTCTGCAAGCCCCTGAGCCACCGTGACACCACGAGTCTCCAGGTCAGAAGCCGTTATCCGTATGGATACAGAGTGTGTGTAGAATCACTGCCTCTCACTCCATGTCTCTTTCTCTCTACCATACTACGTAGACTTTAATCCTTATGAGTTAGCTGCTAAGAAATATTATAGATGGAAATAGACTTATTGCCTTGATCCCCGCCATCCAAGGGGGCGGACCGAGAAAAGAATAGGGCCATGGTCCCAGAAAACCAAACCAAAAAAAAAGCCTGAGCCACACACGCGCACTTCGCAAGCCCATTGAACCCCCATTCAGATGACGGTCTCCACTCGAGCTTACGACGACTGCACATCAAAGCAAGGATGACACAATCCCCAGCAACCCAAGTGCGGTGCGGCAACCGCAGTGACAAGCGCCGACTAACGTTGTGCGGTTTCTATGGCTCTCTTCCTCAGCTGGCCCAGCCCCCGTTTCGTTCGTTCTCAGCGCTCCCGCCGCTGCGTTCCCAAGAAATGCGAGGATGAGGCAAAGCAAAAGAGGTGAAGGGACATGCCTACCACGCCGATGTGCCCACTCCCCGCTCGCCTGAACGTCAAGTTGAGGTGGAAGCTGGGATGAACCGGGGATCATGGATGAGAAGAGCATCAGACCAAGCCGCCTTCCCGCCTTTCCCCCTCCAATCATTGGCGATGACGGCGAATGTCTCTTTACCCAGTTTCCATATCAAAGTACCGAGCGACATGGAGTATGTACGGTAGCCACACCCGGTGATAGTCAGTTAGTGACATTGAGAGCGCCCAGATGATTCAAGGCTGGGCCACATCCCGAGTGTTCCCTGGAAACCCGGAGGAAGGGCCCCCTTTTTTCTTGACAACGATTCCTATCGGTTTCTCCTGCAAGAGGGTCTGAGAGGTTGCTTTTTGAAGGGACGTCTTCCCGTCTTCTTTAGTGTGCTTGTTGTTTCGCCCTTCCTCTCTTGCTGAATCTCTTTGACCTCTTTGACACTTTTTGTACCTGATCATCCCTCCGAGATATCTTTTTCTCACTCTCGCTTTCTTGTTTTCACGGCACATGTTCTCTGTTTACGTAGAGACTCCTTCTGTGACCGCTTGACTTCTTAAAAGAAGCATTTGGAGTAGATCAACGGCCGAAACTCCGGCACGCCATCCGTCCCCCACGTGACCATCCCGGCCGTCCGGTGTAGCGACCTCTTGGCCGTCGACCATTGACTTTTTCGCCTCTTCGACTGCCGGCTTGGCACGGTACCACGAACACCAACTGTGTTCCATCTACACACCACACACACATACGAGCGCCCTACCACATTGGGAAGGACTGGTGTAAACCACCACTCTGAGGGATCACGAAATATTATCCGAAACATCAACGGCAACCGACATATTTTCTGTCATCGTTGTCGTCAGTTGATACTCAGGGGAAAATTAAGCAGCGACTACAGAGGAAACGACAGAGAACTTTGACGAAGCAACGCCACGCACCGGTCGCCCCGTCGACTCACCTCACCAACCGTGGCGCCTAGACTCATCCCGAGGATTATCGTCACCTTTGACGACGCAATTCAGTTCCCCCGACACACATCGCACAGAATGTCAAAGGAGCTCCCCCGCCACGAACGGCGGCCTTCATCACCGACGGCGTACAGCAGCAGCAGCAGCGCCTCCGGCAACCCATTTGAGCAGTGCGACATGAGTCTCAAGATGCTCCTCGCCTTTATATCCACACGAGTCCTGCGCGGCGGCCCGCGGCTCATCGTCCAGCTTGTTCTCGCTTTTTGCGGTCTCCTCCTTTTGGGCAAGTTCTTCACATCGCCGACATCGACAGACACGCTATTCGATTCCGGCTCGAGATGGAGCTGGTCGCCTTTTGGCAAGAGCGCGGAGGATGCTGGATTCGGTGGACCTGGTGGTGTCAGAGTCGTTGCTTTCGGATCGCCCGATATTGCGACGCCATCGAGTGGAAAGGGAGCTAAGGGCAAGGGCTGGACTGAGGCCCTTTGCGAAGAGGTAGGTTTGATTTCGTGTTCCGGGGGTTTCGAGTTCATTTGACTAACAAGATCTCAAGCTTCGATGCTCCTCTCACCAATCCTTCACCCCTCCAATTAGCCTCCCAGCACAGGCTCTGACATCTAACCAACACTACCGCGACACCATCGAGAAGGTCCAGCGCGAGATCGAAGAGTACAAGGCTCCGGGCTTCAACTACGACTTCCTCCTCGAGCAGTTCCCCATCTCTGACACCGTCGCCGACCTCTCCGCTCAGATTGACGAGTTTCTCGCCCAGCCCCAGACCCGTAACGCAATTCCCAAGGAGACCATCTGGGTCTTCTCCTTCGGCACCTGGGACATCTGGACCCTCGCCTCTCTGCCACGCGAGCTGGGCCAGGGTATAGTAGACCTTGCCGCCCGCGCCCTCTTCGCACAAGTCGAGCGCGTTTACCAAGCCACCCTGGACAACGACTCCGTCGCCTTCTCCGACTTTTGGGCCTACCAAAACGCCTCCCTCATCGACAAGCTGAACAACATGGACCGTGAGGGCGGCGATGTTGACGAGCATGAGATTGAAAACTTCCGTGTCGTGATCCCGGATCTCTTCGACGTCTCCCTCACTCCCGGCTGGCACGCCCAGCGTCCCACGCCACCGAGTCCTCACACCAAGGCTGAGCAGATGACCAACGCCGCACACCTCACCGCGCGATGGAACTCAGAGATCAAGGGCCGGATGGACGAGTGGATGCGTACCGCGGACCCTCAACCCGAGAACCCTGAGGAGGAGAGAGGCAAATTCGGCTACGTGCCCGCTAGCAAGCGCGCTACAGCCCACTACCGTCGCTCCCGCGCAGAGCAAGGTCTCAAGGCTGCTCCCAAGGGCGAGGCCCTCCGCGTGCCGTTCCCCCGCCGCGTGGCCGCGCAGATTGATACGGCTAGCTTCGTCCGCGAGGCGATTGTCGAGAAGCAGATGCGCGAGTACGGCCTCACGGACAGCACGGGCCGAGGCAACAGGACGGAGGACGACGCCAACGTCTTCTTCGCTGAGGCGTGGACGCCGTGTATCTGGGCAAAGACTTCGGAGACGGCGGAGGCCGCGAGCGGAGGATATGCGGCGTGCGATAAGCCAGAGGAGTACCTCTTCCACTCGCCCTTCACATTGAGCGAGCGGGCAATTGCGTACACGGCCAAGATCGTGGCTGGCGAGGCGAGAAGCAGGCTCGCTTTTGTTGATGCGGTTGACGAGAGTGCGGTCAAGGAGGGAGAGAAGGCGATGGCGAGGGTCAAGAGAGATGAGCCGAGGAGCGAGTTGGACCACTTCCAGCGTGTTCTGCGTCCCAACATCGTGTCGCGCATCGTTGAGTCTGCTTGCCCGACGTTGGACGTCTGCTAAGTGGCTGTTTTCTTTTGTCCCGTCATGAATCCACCGTTATCGGAGGCCTATGTACAGGATAAGGCACTCATCGCGAGGAACAGGTGGATGATGTTTGTGTATTTCGCGGCATTGGCATTGGCGTTGGGAGGGCATTGGGTTACAAGGACAACCAAAGATCATCATGTCATTGGCGGCCCCCGAACAGTTTGGGGCCAGACGGCGTTTAGGGTTAAATCAGATACCGGGGACATCCCCACAGAGTCAGTCATAGGCAATGACATTTCCATTGAGTACTTCCCAGGCGTTGAACCGCATTGTTGGTGAATCCTGATCCCGCGCCTTTGGTAAGCTGTCTTAAGTCCTTTCGTTCCTGAAATTTGTCGTAGGTCAGGCGTCTTCGAAAGACAATATGAGCACACTTCGGGCGAGGCGAAAAGCAAAACACCAGGAATCGCTTCTAGATATACTGACGGACCATATACGATCTACCGGAATTCAGACGCCAACTCATCGCATGAAAGCTCTATGCCGTCGCTTTTATTAAGTTGATCAACGTCGACTATCTCGCTGCCTACCGCAGTGCCATCGCACAAGCGCTCATCAACGCCGGCAGCATCGTCACAAGGGGCACCCTAAAAGGGCGACGACGCAGATCCCGCCAAGGACCATAGGGCAGACTCTTGGGGAGAGCGACAAGGATTCATGCGGAGCCATGTGTTGAAGGGACGAAAGCGCCGACCTTGACCATCCACCTGGGACATCTGATGTCATGGCCATCAAATGCAAGCTCGCCGACTCTCACAGTATTACTCAAAATTCCCGACGAAGCTCGCTCTCTTGGATTCGATGGAAAGGATAGTTGAGACCATTGACTCTTGACTCCTTTTCACTACAAGACCAGGATACGATCGAGAAATTCCCACCAATCTACCGTCGACAGATGCTCCCTAACCACTCTAGCCCACATGCAACTTACCTTACCAACCACCGGCTGTCCGAGGCACGCCGTGCATGCTGGCATGGCTGGCGACATGCAGAAACCCGTTCCTTGCTTGGTTGTGTTCCTGGGCACCAGAGCTTGAAATGTGCCAAGACTGCTTAAAGCTCGCTGACCTAGTGCGGCACAGCAGATTCGTCGCTGGATTGGGTAGCGGAATGACGAAATGTAACATGCCCTCTTTGCCCGACTTATCATTTTGAAGCGCTAGCAAACACCCAATGTGACACAGAACCGGGGAGCGATTCGACAGACCGAGCTGACATGCCTTTGCCAAAAGAAACACATGCGGGCCGCTGTCTTCGGCGCCTTCTCATCGCACGATCCTTCTGGTGTTGTCAGCTTATAGTTTACGACCTCCCCTCAGCTCAACTCTACGGATTGCGTTCACGTTCGATTCGTATTCAGGCTGCCTGGAATCACATCGAAGAGATTAGTGCAACCCCCAAACCAAAACAGCCCAATATGCCTCTCACCGAACTCTCCCAGCATGCAATCACAAACCTAGGGCCGCTGACAACTGCCTTCACCGCGCCAGCCTCATGCGCAACCTCCTCCCCTGGCCTCTATTTGGCCATCAAATCCGCCTTTCCGGACCGCGTGCAGCCGTTTTACCGCCAAAAATGCGAAGTTTGGGACTACGGCGAGTTTTTCCTTCCGGCGCCGCGTTTGACGACATGCGCTCAGCGGCCTCCTCGCCGGGCCACTCCAACGGTGTGGGCACCATTGCCTACTTCTCGCCCGCAAGCTCCTGTCCCGATCAGTACACGACAGCCGGTGTCGCTGCCAAAAATGCTGAGGGCGCGATTAGTTCGTCTGGATTATTTGTGCCGCCCTTCGTTAGGGTGCCGTTTAGGTCTGGGCACATGAGTGACAGGCTGGTGGCTAACCCCCTCGTCAACGTTTTCATGGAGGCTCTCGATAGAAATGAGACCGCGGTCGTTTGCTGTCCCAAGTGAGTCTACACCCGTGGTCATTTCCACCAGAGATTGTACGGATGCTAACAAGAACCCCTACAACTCAGTGGTTACACTGTAGGGTTCAATGGCGACTGCTTCTCGCAAGTCCCAGAGTCCGTATATGGCCCAACGACGACAGCGTGTCTAAGGAACATTGACCCAAAAGCCGTGTCCTGGGTGAACGCGACCTTCACCTGCAACAACACCGCTGTCTCCGGGCTTGTATATTCTTACGTGGCGACCAGCTACGAGGTCACGACCAAGACGCGGACCTTTACCAGTGTCCTGAGCGACTCCTTGCTTCCGGTTGCTTCGAAACCCGCAATGACAATGATCTACAACGCGGCTGTGGAGACCGGGACTGGCGGCACCGGTGGGGGCGGCACGGCGGCTGCGACTGGGACGGGGGCTCCGAGTGCGGCTCACGGGGTCCGAATGACGACTTCAGGGGGTAATTTAGGGATTCTGGTGACGGTTTGGGCCTTTGCGGCGCTTGCTGGTGTTGCTTTGGCGATGCCTTTGTGAGATATCGTGGAAGATGGTTTAGGGATCAAAGTCTATCCAAACAATACATACCTTAAGCTTTCCCACTACTACTGACTGAAGGTGATATTGATATTGGGAATTAATATACCGGCGTCGCAAATTGATACACCGGCGTCGACCTTACACCGGCGTCGCTGTTCGACCTTTTGATTGGCTCAAAAGAATATTGTTAGTGCAATCAAATTCTGCCAGATACCCACAAAGTATCTCAACCCTTTTTGTTCCTTTGCTCCCTTTCCTCTAAGGTTACATCATCAAGCCTCTAAGTCTAACTTATGCTATTTGCTTACAATGGCTTCTCTAACTGGAGTTAGAGATGTTCCACAAGGCCAATCTCAAAGCAATACCCCTACTAATAAACCTCCCCCTATACGAGAGCGACCATTATTTGAGTACGGCCTCCCACCATCATCTGGCCAACCACCATCATCTCCCTCCTCAGAAAGTAGCCGCCCTAGCGTTAGCCAATTCTATGGAGTTGGTGATCCTCAAGGGCAGCGCGACCTTATTACCGAGCTCCTAGCCGATATATTATAAGATACGCGACCTCTTATATACGATTACCTTAGTATGGAGCCTACGCTATATCTTACTCGTCATTTCCCTAAAGGAATAATAAAAACCTAACGGACTACTCTCCCACGACTTTCTCTAGAGCATAGCCCCTCTCCTCCCAACGAACAGTCCCAGTAACCTTCCCATCCTACAACAGAGCAGTTCAATAGTGCTCTTCAGCTTGTTCTATAGGTTATTAGGACTAATCAACAGCTAACAACGGCACTCCTCCGACAACAAGAGTATGTCCGTCAATGGTAAGAAACATGGGGTCCTCAAGTCAACCTATCACCCTATTCACCCCCACGGCAACCCTCCCCTCAAAGCGAAGCGTCTTTCCGAACTGCAGCCTCCTACCACACTCTAAGCAACCGATCCTCCTCTCCTCCTATAACCAAAATCCCAAACCCACCGATTCCTAGCGATCCAGAGCAAACCTATAATGCCCTCTTCGACCAAGTTAATACCTTTATAAGAGCTAATGGATTTGGCATTGTAAAGCGGAATAGGCATAAAGCTCGAGGCCGAATTATTCGATATACCTTCCAATGTGATCGGTTTGGCGAGCCTGGGCCTATACAAGGTGCTGGCATTCGACAGCGCAAGTCTCGTAAATGCGGTTGTAAATGGCAAGTTATTACCGAGGCTCAAGAGGAGGGCAAGTGGCTCTTACGTTATCACCTAGACCCCTAGCATAGTCAGTATAATCATAGCCGTAGCCTTGAAGCTACTGCATACCCTTCATATCGTAGGCTTACCTAGCCACTTTAGGATACTATTGAAACTATAAGCCGACGAGTTGGGATTCGGGCTCTCGATGTACATATTGTTATCCAGGAGCAGTTCCTAGAGTCCTCATTCACCTAGCAAGATATCTATAACGCTAGGGCTCGTATAAACCAAGAGAAACTAGTGGGATATTCGCTAACTGCAGTATTAATCAAGCTGTTTGATGAGCGAGATATCCCATACGTAGTGAAATAGGTAGATGCCGAGCCAAACCGCCTTATTGGCCTTGTCTAGACCTTTCCCTACTATCTCCAAATATGGAAGCGATTCCCTGAGGTGATTAGCTTTAACAACACCTATAACACCAATCGCTTTAAGCTCCCTCTCTTCCAAGCTACTAGGCAGACCTACCTTGGATCTGTTTACAACGCTGCGTTTGGCCTTATCGACAACGAGAGACTAGAGGGTTTACAGTTTCTCTCAGCAGGGATCCGCCAACTCATGGACCAACACTCAGTCCGTTACCCCACTGTTGTTATTACAGACTACGACAAGCAGATGAAGGCTGCACTGAATGAGCAGTTCCCAGACGTTCAGCAACAACTCTACATCCACCACATCAATTCTAACGTTATGCTCAGGGCTAAGCAGAAGTGGGTTAAGGACCGCAGCTATAGCAGTAACAACAGTAGGTCTAATAACGAGGGATATCAGCTACCAATACAAGCAATAGCCACGCTAAGTGATAAGGATGAGGCCTATATCAACACATCTATTAATAAGCCCCCCCCTCATACGTATCGTAGGGTCCTTATAATATGGAAGCTTATTATTTTTGCTAAGACTAAGCACGCTTTTAAGAAAGCCTAGACCAAGCTCTATAAAGAGTTTAACGACCAACGTCCAATCCTCCAGTACCTCTACACAACATACCTACCTTTAAGAGCACAGTAGGCCCGCTACTCTATCCGAAAATACCAGAACTTTAGTATTCGCGTCACCTCTAACACTAAGTCAAGTAATAACAACATTAAGGGTTATCTCTTAAATAGTCTTAGTCACCTAACTATATCGACTTATTAATGTTATACAGGACATGATTAGTAACCAGGAGATACGCTTCAGGCAAGCTTATGTTAAGGATAAAGTACTTACAGGCCGGGAGTATATAGGTACTCGCTTTAAGTACCTAGGCAAACTTCGAACGATACTTCCCTCGAAGTATCTTACATTAATTGGGAAGCAATACCGGCTAGCAAAGAAAGCAATGCCATCTGGCACGAGGCCATTCCCAGCTCCCCTTGGAGACTGTAGTCCAGACTACACTATTTCAATTAAGCTAGGTATCCTACTACCATAAGATCTACTCCAAAAAGTTAGATTCAGCTACTTTCAGTAAATGGGAGGTACACCCTCGGTGGCGTCTTCGAGAGACGTCTTCCTCAGATCCATACCGCCGGATCCTTGACCCTAAGATTGCTACATCCCTCCGCGGCAGGCCAAAGAACACAGTGCAGCCTGTCCCATCACAACTAGCCTTACCTACAGAGGGCCAGTCAGCCAGACAAGCCCGCACTACCTACAGCAGCCAAGGCGCAAATGATAAGAAGCGAGGCCGCCTACCTAGGAGCAAGAATAAGTCGACGCTAGCTAGGCTTACACAAGAGACAAGTCAGCCAAGTCAAAGCCAGATATCAAGCTCATCCCAGCGACAAACAAGGAGCCAGTCTAGTGTTCTTAGTAAGGGGAGGACAACAGGGAATCATACAAGTGGACGGCCGATGCAGCCTAGTGTTCGGAGGAAACGGAGTTAGTAGGAAATGGTCTATAGTGACGATAAATCTTTGCAACCACGTTGCAAAAGGTAGTTAGGTAATAGGCCTTTCGAGGGTTTATATAGTTACTATTTGAGATTTACAAACCTGGGGTATAAGTAGGCTGTAATACGTACTTTTAGAAATCTCAAATCAGAGCTTAGGTTAGAGAAGAGGGCAGGAATAGCCATGTTAGTGCAGTCACCCTCACCGCCTTTATGGGGAGGTATTGTTTTTTTGAGCCAATCAAAAGGTCGAACAGCGACGCCGGTGTAAGGTCGACGCCGGTGTATCAATTTGCGACGCCGGTATATCAATTCCCTTGATATTAAACAAACCCCCCCCCCCCCCCCCCCCCACTTTCAACGGGAAAATTCTTTAGCAGAGAGTTGGTCATGGAAGTATAAGGTAGCTGATGGCAGGAAACCAATTTGGTGAGTCCTCGCCCAGGAATGTTTCTTGAGTCCATCGGTGCTACTATCATCGACGTTGTTTGGTCAGACAAAGACAGATCAGAACTTGCAAAAACGAATCGATACGGACCCAACTACTGAGGTCTCTTCTTTCAATCGGTATCACCGAATCTTTCCAGCGCAGGACTTTCACGCGCATCACGCTTTGCATGATGCCAAGACTAGGCAGCCAAGGTACTAAGAGTCCAGTCCCCTCATGCTTGCTTATGTTGTCGGTCCTTTTTAGTGTGCCGTAGTAAACCGAATATTGACTGGGTGGGCCAACACATGTCGTGTATTAACGTATCTATCAGTGTCTACCTTGGGCCAAATAACCAAATCTCGACTTTGGACAAGGTAACAACAATCAAGAAACTTCTCTGCAATCCATGCAAGTGAGCCAATACTTTCCAACAATGCGACCCTAAATGCAGTGCCTCCACGACTACCGGGATAATGATAACAAGTCCATTGGGGCAGCCGTGTGCTTCAACGTGAATGGTACTTGCTTCTGAAAGATGAATCTCAGAACAATTGGAAGTATTCACTAGTCTGTCCAGGTAACGTTCCAAGTTCTCAAGAACCCCCTTCTGAAAACTTCGATTCTCTGACAAGAGGATTGGAAAATGAGCGAACTACAATTTGATGAGTTCAGTGTATGTACCAAGCTGGCATTTTCCATATCATGTAATACCGGTCACTAACGCCTGTTCGAACACCAGAACAATGAACTTCAACCTCGTTCTGTTGCTGATACATCCTGGGCAATTCGGCTACCGGGCTATGGCCTACCGCTGAATTATCTGCCAGACAAGTGAGGCAGATTCCCTGTGCTCATGGAAGACACCCACAAAAGTTGGAAAGCTAGCACTCTACTGGTTCGAGAGATTTGCATGCTCAAGTTCATGGAGGACATCACCAACAAACCTGAGTGGTGGCGCAAAGTTCGAGACCCGGTGGTTTCCGCCAAGTGGAAGGAGGAAGTGCTGGCATTGGACTGGGCAGCGTACCGAAGCCATGGAGACTTCACGAAGAACATGGCCGAAGCGGTAAGTTCCAGTCGGGTTGGCATAACCTTCGCATGGCCGCCAGCAACCAATCGAGATGATTGAGCTGACATTGAGTTTTAAAGTGCATGCAAGAACTTCGAAAAAAAGCAACGTTGTACGAGAAAACAGGCCTTATTCCCGTGATGGATTACTCTACTTGTATCATCAAGTCAGACAAGCTTTTGCCCAGCTCGTTGATTGATCGTCTACAAGTCGCTGTCAAATCTCTTGAAGATGTTCCCGACCACGAAAAGGTTTGGCATCCTGGAAGTGACGGTAAAGTCCTCGACCTGGTGTACCCGTCACTCTTCCCACTCCTGTACGGCCGGTCACGCATTATGCACGAACGGATCACATTAGATAACTGCCTCGAACTCGGCGGACGCGGACTTATCATCCCCAAACCCGACGAATCTGATGTTGGTGAAGGTAGGACCTTCGACTGGCAAGGCGCACCTGTTGAGCTAGTATCCACTAAGTTTCAGTGGCTGCCATGTGATGTCGCCATTGACGACGACGGCCGGCCCACCATTGAGAGTTATATCAATATTTTGCGCCCAAGGAAACACTCAAATTTGTACCCCTTAGTCGAAGAACTAATACAGAAGTCTTTGCCAGCTTGGGACATCATCTATCGCTGGGTGAGAAAGTTCCCAGTCCAGCGTCTGACCGCGCGAAAGGTCGGAAAGCGTGTTGCAGTTTCTGATGTTGTCCCGGAGAAGGGAAACCAGTCAGGCGGAAACGAAAGCGATGTTCCCATGGGATATCAAGATGAAGACCACCTGGAGATCGACAACTTGGCCCAACCCACGGCTTCTACTGGAGAGAAGAGAGGCAGACAGCCCGGGGACACCCAGGAAACCAAGCGACTGAAGACCGACGAAGCGGACTCTGAAGACTACGATGATAACAAAGATGAGGACGACTACGACAATGATGACAGTGACAGCGAAGACGAACAAGTTCGAGAGCCCTCTGCTTATTTTAGACTATCGACCAAAAACATCAAGCGCACCGGATTCTTCAACAAAACACCCCGCATTCAAGTCATCGTCAAATTCGCCAACATCCACCTCACACCCGAAAAGCCATCATATAACGACGGCTCATGGCAGGCACGTCGAGGGTTAACTCAACGAGCACATCTGCGCTACAGCCCTATTCTACTACGACAGCGCCAACATCACCGAGTCCCAGCTTGCTTTCCGCGCTCCGGGGAACAGGGAGAAGCTGGGTCAGCGTCTCAACTACCAGCAGTACGATCACAAGTCTTTTGAAATGGTTTTTGCGATTCGGAGTAGCTCCGATACGCTCCAGGAGGTAGGGAGCTCGCTGACGCGGCCTGGGAGGGCGCTCTTCTTCTCGAACTTGAGCCAGCATAAGGTGCGGCCTTTCCAGTTAGAGGATCCGGCGAAGCCTGGGTACAGGAAGATTGCGGCTTTGTTTCTCGTCGATCCTGCTGTGCCTGTGATTTCGACGGCGAATGTGCCTCCTCAGCAGAAGCATTGGTCCGTGGTTAAGGACCAGGATCCGGAGGCGAACGAGATGGTTGATGTTGGATCTCTTAGCAGTCGGCAGAAAAGATGGATCCGGAAGGCGGTATGGGCACTTACAAACGGCCCTTTCACTTATATACCACTTCTGGGAGATCGTGGGCTCTGCCCACAATCTCCTCCTTCCACCTCCAGACGCAGCAATAATAGACCATTATTGACACTTCGTTCCAACCGTACGGTTGCCCTGCTGACGTGTATACCAACAGTTGAGACCATGAGTGTTCTGATTGAAATGAACGAAGCAAAGAAGCTACAGGAAGAGCTCATGAAGGAAAGGATAGTTCTATCAAAGACTGTCAATGAAGAGCTCAGAGACGTGGAGTGGAGTTTCTGCGAGCACTGAGACAAAATGGACTTGGCCCTATGTTGACAAACGATATGCCAGCCGACGGTCTTACCAAGAACCTCTCACGAGCAAAGTTCGAGCACTTTATATCGCTCCTAAACATGAGAGATATACGAGAAATGGTCACACGGAACGAGGGGATAAGTATGCGGGAGCAGAACGCCCCGGAGCCCCGGGTTTTCAATTAAAAAGTGGCCCACGGCCAGGGAGCATGAAGTCGCTCCGGCGACCCCGTCGGATCGCCCAAAAAAAGGGCTATTTGCCTGAGAGAGCAGACACGTAGCGATCCAGAAGATCAACCAACGCGGGGCGCACGTTCGCAGGAACGTGGACACCAATGAAGGCGTCGAGTCCGATCCGGATACCGTGTGCCTTCGCAAGCGAAGCAGCCGACACCTTCACGTCCTCAACTGGCTCTTTCAACGAAGCTTCCAGCACAGAGAGAGCGCCCATAGACGCCTCTCTCACCAAAGCCTCGTCTACACGAGCCCCTTCACCTCCACCCTCACCCATGAGGCCGTCGCTCTCAAGAGCCTCACGCAACGCTGCGGTTACGCGAGTCAGGTCCTAGGAAGCTGTCAGCAATAATCGGAAGCGAGGCACGTATAGAATACTCACTTTTACCGGCGTCGCCGGGGTCTCCTTGCTCGCCCGCTTGAGGCGCAGGAACTTCTCACCGAGCTCACGTGTACGCCCCTCAGGAATAGGAGCGCAGCCAGACTTCTTATTACGCTGGCAGAGGGCACACTTCCGCCCTCCACGCGAGCCCGGGAGACACCAGCCCTCCGAACGGCCGCTAAGGGCGCTTTTGATACACCCAAGGCAAGTAGAACCGAACGGAGGCGGCACCCGCTCGAGAAGCTCCTCGGCACCAGGTGTGCCGGGAGGGTACGCTGGTGAGAATGAGTATTGTGAACGATAAGGTAAACAAGGACTCAGAACTCACGGGGGACCACTCCGCGCCCGCCAGGAGGGAGCGAGGGAGGGGGCTGTGAACCACCCTCACCTTCACCCGCCTCCTGGGTATCTCCTTCGGCCAAAAGGCCGTCACCGCCTATAAAGCACGACGACAGTATTAATTCCAAGCAACAATACCGTGCTGCCGACTATGTCCGGGAGCGAGGAAGATACCACGTACCCGAAGCGGGATTCTCGTTAGGATTGGGGGAGCCGCCGCTCTCCCCCAGAGTCTTGAGGCGCTTGGCCTTACGCGCTGCGACGGTGCGAGCGCGCTTTTCAGCCCCGGTCTTTTTAGGCGGCATCTATACACGACATCGTTAGTCAAAATCCTCATTCCTGACGACGCGCACGCTTGCGAACGCGGGCGCAAAAGCGAGAAAAGTGAGGGTATATACGTACGGTGGGTGGTATGGTGTGACTGCGTTGTAGAGGGAAGGAAAGTCAGAGCCGTGGGCGGTCGAGAGGAATTAACTTGGGCAGCGACCGCCTCAGACCGACGGTCGATTATTCGGCCAATGAGAGGCCTCCATTCCGAAATACCTTCCGTTAATGAAGGACCTCGAGATCATTCATGGCAACGCACTCAGAGGCTGACCGACTACCCATTTTCCTACGTCTACAACTCAGCGCGCAAAGCGATTTATTTTGTACTTCCTTTTGTAAATGGATTCCTGTACGGTAATAGTTAGAGTTCTGCATTCAGCAGCGCTATTTCCAACGATGCGGGTGGTTCGGCGCGATTTTCCAGATGACGCGTCTGGGGGGGTGTGTCGTGATGGCTTCAACCATCTGTGGCCTCACTACCCGTCACGTGACCTCGGTTACATAATCACCAAGGCCCACACTCGCTCGCATCACCTACTTCAGAGCGAATTCCAAAATTTGCCCGAGTCATTGAACAGGAACGTTAGGTGAAGACGGTAGCCTGTAATATAGTTTAGATTAGTATAGACCATGTCGGCATAGCGCCCGGCACGTCCTTTTGTTACCAGACGTTAAATACATCATCATCATCATCATCATCATTTCAGAGCGAAGAACCAACTTCTGAACACATACCTCGAAAGGTACCCACTGTTAGTAATTGTTAAGGTTATAGAGGGCTACGGCCCACTGCACTATCATCTCTCAACATCAGCCTATACGAGCTGAATTCCACGACCATGGCGGTCTCCCTAGATGTAGGGCCATCGATCACGGTTCACGGGGACGCCGGTATATCTCGGCGGTCTGGACGAGTCCGGAAGCCGACTGCAAAGGTCAGAGTGGTTGAGCAGGTCAACCACCAGGACAATTCTGAGCTCAAAGACGAGATCAATAAGTTTTCGAATCTGGTCCAGGACCTCCTGCGTCGGGACGCCGAGAGGGAACAGTTTTTGAAAGACTGTTTGACGAAGATCGAATCCTTGGAGAGAGAGCTTCAGGAGGAGAAACAGCGTTCAAACCGGCATCAACGTGGTCTAGCAAGGTCTATGCACGCTATTGGCACAGGGCCTAGCGAGACTGACCTGAGTTCCCAGGGGCATCCCTCGCACACAACCCAGAACCAGCCGCCCCCAGTCCGTTCATACGCGGCGGCGGCGAGCCAGCCACTGTCCAGAAGACAGGATGAACCAACGCCAGCCAAACAAGGCGCAAAACAAGCTACAAACCGGGCGGCCTTAAAGGATCTACGCGTCTTCGCGCGTCTATCGCCTGAAAGCCCGCTTCGGAACGAGAAAGCCTACGATATATATATCTTCGTTCGGGAAAGGCTAAGTCCCCAAGCCCGAGAAGCCCTCAAGGGGATCGACCATGTCAAGACAGGATTAGCACTCCTACCTTCGTCAATGGATAGTGCAAAAGTCCTGCTAGAGAACAGAGAACAGATCGCTGCCCTTCTCCAAGCGTAAGCGATCGAGCAACGCGATACCTGGATCCGAGCCTATATCGCAAACGTCCCTTACACTAGGCATTGTCTGGTAACCAACACTGAGCTGGAAATCACGACCGAGGAGCTCCTTGAAGAGATCCAGGTCTCGACGAAACTCAAGCCTGAAAAAGCACACTTCTCTAGGAAGGACGAAGTCGAAAGGCTAGGCACGGTGACAGCCTGGTTCAAGGCGGAAGCCGTAAGGCAACTACCAAGACGCCTCCGTTTGATAGGGGCCAGCGTTTTTGTAAACCTGTAGTTCCCGAAGGAGAAGAGGTCTCCTCAATGTCTCCGCTGCGGCGGTTTTTACAGCGAACGAACGTGCACCAGAAGGAAGAGATGCCTCAAGTGCAGCTCTCCTTCCCACACAACTGATCAATACCGGGCACCCTGCGGCGGCACTGAGGGTCACGATGGCTGCGACTGCCCCTTTAAATGCCCGTCGTGTAACGGGCCTCACGCCGCCTTCGATGCGACTTGCCCTATCCAACCCAAAGTGGTGAAGGGGGTAGTCCAGAGGAGGGATAAGGCTCAGCTACGGGCCATCCGAGCTGAGGGAGAAAGATTATGGAGAAATGCGACCCAGCAGTCGCATCGATATTCCCGTAAAGAAGAATAAGCGATGGACTATACCCCGGCGAATAAGATATAAAAGAAGAATATAGCCCTCTAAACCCCTGCAAATTATATAAGTAAATATAGTGAGGCGGGTATCTGCCCACGAAACAGCACTAAACCTGGCTTATGCAGCCCAGATCGATATACTCCTAATATAAGAGCCGTCTATCCGTTCGGAGGAGAGGAGGCTCACAAGACACCACCTAGGTTTTGAGACTTTCACCCTAGTAGATAACTGGACCGAAGACCGTCCCAGGGTACTTACCTACCTCCGCAGAGGAACTAGGGTACGAGGCGTATAAACACGGCCTCTACCCGATCTATCTATAGACCTGCTCTTCTTACGACTCCTCTCAGGAACGAAGGAGGTCCTTATAGTCATTAACGTATACAACGCCCCTCGTGGCTCTCTGCGATCTGGCCAGGCTCTCAGGAACATCCTAGCGGCCTGGCAACCCAAACCTGAGGATCGAGTACTGATTGCGGGGGATTTTAACTTATACCATTGGACGTGGCAGCCCGAGGCCACGAGTTCCCCGGACGCTGAAAACCTAGTAGAATGGGCAGAAGCCGCTAGCCTTGTCCTAATGTCACCTATAGGTGAACCCACGCACAAAGGCGGCAACACCCTAGATTTATGCTGGGCGTCCAGCAACCTCCATAGGGCTTCCACTAGCATAGAAACGTCACTACACACGACATCAGACCACGAATCTCTGCTTACCCGGGTCCCCTTGGCCCTGATCGATTCACCTAGCCAGACCCCGGGAAGGTTTCGGCTCGACACGATGGACGAGGAGCTTTTCCTCGGCATCATTAAACGCAACTTACAACCCATGCGCCGCACTGCAAGCAACTCTCATGATCCTAGCAAAACCGGGAAAAAGAGACAAGACACTCCCGCGCTCCTATAGGCCCATTACGCTCTTGGCCGTCCTCGGAAAAGGCTTGGAGAGACTTATCGCTAGACGACTTGCCTGGATCGTAGTTAAACATCGTGTTCTGCACGATCAACAGTTTGGAGCACTCCCTCTTCGCTCTTGTAGCGACCTTATCGCAGCGGCCATCTACGACATCGAGTGCGCCTAGCAAAGAGGCCTGGTTACCTCTATGCTTACGCTCGATATAAAAGGGGCTTTCGACGCCGTGCTCCTAGGACGACTGGTCCGACGCCTTTGCGAATAAGGATGGCCGGAGAACCTCGTACGCTGGGTCTCAAGCTTTGTTACCGGAAGGAGAGCTAGAATAAGACTTGATGGGGAGGTAGGAGACGTCTTCGGTCTCGAATACGGACTACCACAAGGCTCACCCATATCTCCTATTCTGTTTATACTCTATATCGAACCTCTTTTTAAGCTAGGTATAGCTCGCTTAGGAAGGAAGCGATCTCGTTTTGGCTACGCCGATAACGTCGCTATCTTAGCAAGCTTAATATTACTAAAGAACAACTATGACATCCTAACCAAGGAATAGAAAGAAACCTTAGGATAGGGCGCGACGGAAGGAATCTGTTGGAACAGCAAAGGCTGATAAGGAGTAATGGGAAGGTACCATGGGCTGGCTGGCACCTGCCCTGGGCGAAGTGGGACAACTGGCTTAGTCATCACGGCCGGATAAAGGTGGGGCAACCACCCAGGCCGTCACTACCTACTTCGACCGACTCCTGCCTACAATGTAAGATAGAACAACAACAAGAAGAACAAGCAATAGGATCACCAACAGACGAGTGATAATTGCTACCACTATTTGTCGTATACGACCCCGTGAACCAACACTGATCATTGGTTGACTTCTCACGAATCACCACAGATTAATAAGGTAATACCACGAAGAGAGCTCGCCGGCCTGAAAACCCGCGCAGCTGCTAACGAGCAGTAACGTCGACTACTTCACGAAAGTCCACGAGAACCTCAAAACTCCCTCCGGCCTCAGCAGCCCGAGCGCGAGTGCGTCTATCACGCTATCACGACTACCTTTGCAGACGAGAATCCCTCCGTACCTGGTACCGTCGGAAGAGACCTCTGCGTGGCCGCGATACTCCATTTCATACACTTCACCTTCTCATCTTACGCGCAGATTGCGCAGCGATTGCTACCAAAACACCCCAACAGACTAACTCGAACAGCCAACTTCATCATCACCATGGCACAACCGTCATCTATACCCTCGCAGCTAGGTGAGCTTCACATCCTTCCTGCGATACATAAGTACACCGACCCGGCCTACTTCAACCATGACGACATTCTTCTCAACGAGCGTAACCCGATACGTATCTCAACGTTCATGTCATGGCACATAGCCAATTGGACCGAGCAAGGGCTCTATGGCCGCGACTTATGGCTCTCCTTCCAGCGAGAATTCGATGGATGGGACACAGACCTATTTAACGCCGCCTCGACGAGGCCCCTCGGTATTTTTCGCGACTTCCTACTCTATCGCGGAGTTTACACCCCACGTGACCGCTCTCGCGTTGCCCCCAACCTCGTCGCTGTCCTTGAAGGCGAAGATTTTCATCCATGGACTGGTGAAGAAGTCGAAGAAATACGCGCCAAGGCGAAGGACTTCAACGACCTTGTTGAGCAACAACCAGGCTTCCTCGCAGATATCACGCGAGGATACATCAGCCCAGCGGAGCGACAGCGAATGGACAATGAGGCGCGCGCAGCGAAGGCACAGGCAGACCACGAGATGAATGAGATGGTCGCCAAGCAACTTGCTGCCAACTACGCTGCCAACCGAAACCCTCACAACCTCGACACACCGCGATCCCATCACACTTCACGTCAACCAGCAATTTCGAAGCCGTCAACCCCACGGCATTCTCCACATCCCTCACCCATTATCGACCATCGGCAACATGAAGACTACCTACCGTGGTCACGGACCGCCAGGCTACTCCCACTACCCAACCGTCGTCGCGGCAGCTAAGTGACCTCTCCAAGCTGGTCACTGACGATATGAAATACAGCGGTGAGATGTATGACGTATTCGACCTCAAGAT